TTTGGTCAATTAAATAAAACCCAGAATTAGATAACATTTAATTTAGATGTGTCCACATCTATTTTTTTCAGAGGTTTTGGATTCTTGAGACTGGTCTCGAATTTAAAATGAGATAACAAGATGTAATAATACAATATATCTTCCTTCTAGAACATGAGGTTTATTGAGTCCTGAAAGGCATGAAACTAGTCAGCTGGAAAAATAACCTGTGCAAGTGGCCAGAATTCTGGTGTTTTGTTAATTGGTTGTGTGAATGTATCCTTTTAGCACTTCTATAGTTGGAATGGTGGAGTTTGACCTGTTTCGGAGTGGTGTTGCTTTTTTAAAAACTCCTATCCATTTCTCTAAGGAAAATAGTCCCTTTCCTCAAAGCCACTATTAGGAAAATAAATACACAACTTCTTTTCATTACATCCATCCATATGAAGCTAAAAGATGGCTCCCACCAGACATTTGGATGACTGTCTCTCGCTGGGGGAGACAATAGAGAATCAGCAAAGCAGGTTGGAACAGGCATCTTGCCAACAAATGAAGGGGATGGGCCAAGACAGCTGAGCTAGCATTTCATTTGTCTATGCATCTGTCAGTTCCATTGGGAAGATGTGTATGCAGTGTGGTTAAAGCACCTGTTAAAGAGTTCTCCTCTTAGACGATGTTCTGTTTTCGGCCTGCAAGAGAAGTGGTCTTGTAGATCTCCATCAGGTGGAAAATTCCACTGCGAGGGGGGCCATCCCTAGGAAAGCCCTGTAATTTTTCTTCTTTGTGGCAATAGAGTTCATATTTATTTAGATACTGGAGCAAATAATGCTGTTAGAGCTGCCACCCTTCAAAGTATATGTGTTAATGTAAGCCATCATTTGTCCATTTGGAGCAATGCTTCCTTTTCATCCTATTGAGTTAATTCATCCATGCACCCATTGGAAAACAGACTAAACTTTACAGGAAGAGAAACTCTGTAATCCCCAATTTGCCAAAGGAGAACATTCCGTTGGGTATGTTTACAATTTTTTGGGGGGGGGGGAACCTTTTTCTTTGCCGTAACATACGGGTATCTCATACTCTTTCCTTTCGAGTCCTTAAGGTACGGATCTTGAATGTAAAGTGCTCTTAACAATCTTGAGAGCTAGGTAGAGAATAGTCCAAGAATTTGAACAACAGATGGCTTGCCCTAGGAATGCATCCAGCTAGTTGGTGTCCATTTCAAGTTGACTCTCCTAGATCTGTCTTTTGCTTCCCCTTAGCAACCACTGATTGGTCCGTCTGTCCACCCTTCCTGAAAAGGGGGCACCTGTGTTATCTTAGGACACTAAGACCATGACATGCAGTGGGCTTCTCTTGGTTTTGCAAGGCTATTGCCCCTGATAAATGCTCTGATTTATATATATATATATGTATGTATATATATATTTAAATTTATATACCACCCTTCCCCCCCTAGGGACTCAGGGCGGTGAACAGCTGAAATTAAAATACATACAATATAAAAGTTAAGATAGCTAAAATAAATTAAATCAATTGGCCCCCAATTTAAAACCCCAAAGCTATACAATTAAAACTAACCCATAAAAAACCTAATTAGGCTAGGCCAGCTTGCTGAAATAAAAACGTCTTGAGGGCCTTACGGAAAGTGCGGAGATCCGGGATAAGTTGTATTCCGGGAGGAAGCTCATTCCAGAGGGCGGGTGCCCCCACAGAGAAGGCTCTCCCCCTGGGGGCCGCCAGCCGACATTGCTTGACCGACGGTACCCTGAGGAGGCCCTCTCTGTGAGAGCGTATTGGCCGGTGGGAGGTTATCGGTAGCAGAAGGCGGTCTCGTAAATACCCTGGCCCTAAGCCATGGAGCGCTTCAAAGGTGAGAACCAACACCTTGAAGCGCACCCGGAAGACCACCGGGAGCCAGTGCAGCTTGCGCAGGAGAGGTGTTATATGGGAGCGCCATGTCACTCCCGTAATCACCCGCGCGGCCGCATTCTGGACCAGTTGGAGCCTCCGGGTGCTCCTCAAGGGGAGCCCCATGTAGAGAGCGTTACAGTATTTACCAGGATGGAGATAATAATGAAGTTGTTATAAATGCTTTAGAGCTCAAGCTGCTTCATCAAAGCTGGCCATCTAAGGACTGCTCAGGTGAGACGGATCTATATGGCTGAGAAGGGGAATTCACGCTCCTTTGAGGAATGCTAAGCTGTCAGGCCAGTGGCTGATGAAATAGTTAAGCATAGATCTTGAGCTGAGCCTGCCGCGTATGTGAGATAGTTGTGTTGTTTTATAAAACGGCTGACCTTGTGGATGTTCATTTATACTTCCTCATCCTGTCCTTGGAAAATATGGATTGGCACAAGGGAGATCCTGTCCAAAACTATGAGCCCGGACATAGGAAATCCAAGAGGAAATATTGGTTATATCTTTCTTTTGACAGGGCTTAGCCTGAAGATTTCATAAAGCTCCAGTTGGCCTCCTGTCAGCAAGCTGCAAGGCTTCCATAGAAAAAAAAAAAACCCAACCATTTGTTCCATTTTAAATCAGTCACTAAGCTTTTCCCACTGAGGCCTTTGGGATGTGCGGTGGTTACCTTTCTGAATTACCAGCCAATCTTCTGTGAAGTGCTGTTACAGCGCATCTACAAGTAACCTAGATAGACTTTTTTTTAGTGTCACTGACTGTATAAATAGGAAAATGTTTTCTTATGTATTTGAAGGTCTTTTCTTCAATGGGGGAAAGGCATGAATAATCTCCTTCCCTGAAAAGAACCTGGATTTATGTGGGACTGTTCTGAATTTTGGAGTAAAGCAAACTTTTCTGGGACTACAGGCTGAATCTTCTGGGCTGGGTACCTAAATCTTAGATACACACAAACACATCCTATATATGTAACGCAGGGGTGGGCAAATGTGGCCCTTTTACAACCTGTAGACTTCAACTCCCAGAATTCCTGAGATAGCCAGGAATTCTGGGAGTTGAAGTCCACAGGTTGTAAAAGGGCCACATTTGCCTACCCCTGATGTAACACACATAATTTTGTATACAGTCTGGGTTTAATGCCTATTCTGCACTGGAATTTTATAATTTTATATGTTTCTATTTACTAATTACAGGTAGTCCTCGACTTATGACTACAATTGAGCCCAAACTTTCTGTTGTTAAGTGAGTCATTTGTTCAGTGAGTTTTACTCCCTTTTACGACCTTTCTTGCCATTGTTGTTAAGTGAATTACCGCCGTTTTTAAGTTAGTAACCCAGTTTTTTAAGTGAATCTGGCTTCCCCATTGCTTGTCAGAAGGTCGCAAAAAGGGATACAGCAACAGTCATAAATATGAACCAGTTGTCAAGCATCTGAATTTTGATTACATGATCATGGGGATGCAGCAAAGGTAACACTGAAAAATGGTCATAAGTCACATTTTCAGTGCCGTTGTAACTTTGAACAGTCACTAAATGAACTGTTGTAAGTCGAGGACTACCCATACATTTTATTGTTTATTTTCCTCTCTTTTTAAACATTGTAAGAAATGTGAATGTTTCATTTACTGAAAGAACCTCAGCTGGATTTGAATAATAATGCATTCACAGCCTTCTCTATCGGCCCACGGTCTAGCAATCAGTATAATAGACACCCATGTCACCATCTTTCTGGGGCTTTTCTCACCCGCTGAATTGAAATGTTCTCTGGCCATTGTTGAGTCAGCAAAAAACTATGCTTGTGTGAAATATGCATCCTATTGGCAATCCCTATCCTGTCTCTATTGTCTCTGTTTCAAGTCTCTGCAGTCCCCTGCCTTCCTTCAGCCTAACAGGTTTTATACACCTTGAGGCAGTTCTTGGACAGGGCTAGATCAAGAGGGGGAAAATATTTCAAAACCTGTTCAGCTAAGGGATCTTCATGCCTGCTTCGCTTAAGGGGTGGGGATGAGAGGAATGTGACATCATGCAGACATAGCAGGAAAAAGATGCCTACGATCTCCCATTGGGGAGTTGCAGAAATTTGCTGAATTGCAACCCTCCCCATCACTTGCTAGATTGGACTGCTGGGAGATTTAGTTCCCGTTGACTTTCTACAGCAGTAAAAACTGGTTGAAGAACTAGAGATGGTGGCATGCTGGGCAAAGAAAGGGTATCATCCAAAAGATTGATTTGAAAGAATAGAAAAATTGGCTAGCTTTTTAAATCGAAAAAAATGTCGCTGGCTAGAGCTTCTCTCTTTCTGTATGACTGATTAATCTTCTTCTTCATCAGCACTGAGAGGCAGGGTGGATAAAAATCAATGATTTTTTTTAAAAAATCAAAAAAAGATTTTTTTAAATTTAAATCGGATTTTTTTGATTTAAATCGGATTTTTTTGATTTTTATCAAATTTATTTTAATAAAAAACTTTTGGGGTAAAAATCTATCGTAAGATAGTTTTCTATTTAAGATACATAAATAATTTAGTTTATTCAGCATGAAATGGAGCTTAGTTATGTAGCATGAGGCTGTATATTCTGCAACACTGGGACTATCGGTGAGTCAACAGTGGGTCAAAGGAGTAGCAGAGATGACAGTTGCTCTTTAAAAATTATGATTTAAATCGAGTTGATTTAAATCAAGCCTTTTTACTAGTGATTTAAATCATGATTTAAATTGTGATTTAAATCAACTCGATTTAAATCAAATCCATCCTGCTGAGAGGGTATTTTAAATGTCCCTTCCCCTGGAAGTGCTTTCAAAAATCAGTGGATTTACTCCAAGACTTTAGCAGAAAAAGTGAGATGAGACAGCAAACATGCCCAGGCCAACTTAACAATAGCTATAGAGAAAGGCTGCACTCTTTTTTAATTTAGGCTTTCTTTTGGTCAAATTGTTCAGAATACATCTTTTAAAAATAGTGTCAATAGCATGTTGGAGGGGATTGTGAGAAATTATTTGTGACAAATCTGCAATTGTGGTTTATATTACAAATGGAGACAATGGTTTATGGTAATTTTGCCGCCTGATCAATAATTAGCATTATTCCTCCATTGTTAATAGGAATGGGCCTGATGCGAAGATTATAGTTCACAACAACCCCGAGATAACAATCCATTGTTATAGTTTGGGGGACTATGTTTGGACAGAGCAAACATATAGTAAGTCTTCAATATACTGGATTATTAATATCTCAATCAAGTTCAGGCACAGTTGATATATTCACACATCCCCACACCCCATCATGATTTCATCTTATTCAGTTACTGCTTATATTTCCTAATTGCAGGCCAGCTAGCAGTATAAGGAAGAAGCCTCTTGTGCCACTGATCTGGGGCTAAGATTTTAAATATTCAAAAACAAAAGAACAATATACCCTGAATATTATATTAATGGAATAAAGATGATCACCTCTGTCAAAGAGCTAGAGTTTTGTAACTGTAAAACAAGTACCACTGTGGACCTTCCAAGATATTGGATGGCACTTCTAAATTGGGTAAAAGTCCTGTATCTCAAGCTTGTATATGCATTGTTAAATAATCCCTTATTTTGAGCCATGGAAGCACAGAATATATCAACTGTACATTAAGAAAATTCATGTTTAGCTATTGATTTCTATTTTTTCTGTCTTCTTTTACTGACCACTGATTTGATAGGCTGTGAGATTATTGATTACATTTCGTCAAGCTACCCTGTTTCCCCGAAATTAAGACCCAACTGGAAAATAAGTCATAGCATGATTTTTCAGGATGCTTGTAATATAAGCCCTACCCCCCCCCCCCCAAATAAGCCCCAATTAAGATTGTCAGCCAGATGGATGCATTTAGTACCATATTTCCCCAAAAATAAGACCTAACCAGAAAATAAGCCCTAATGCAACTTTTGGAGCAAAAATTAATATAAGGCCCGGTCTTATTTTCAGGGAAACACGGTAATCTTATTGATTATCCAAGATAACTGTATGTGTTTATGGCTAATAGAAATTAAGCTGATCTAAATCTTCTCAAATTTTCATGTAATATTTGGTCTTGACTGGCTTTGAGAAAATTCTGTCTATCAGAAATAAGACTCTCAAGTTAGATTTACAAAAGAATCCAAACTCTACTCCAAAAATCAGTAATGTAGGCATGCCAAGGAACAAAGACTTTATCAATATTTTGTGCCCCAAACTCAAAAAAACTTTTGTATCAATCACACAAACTGTCTTACTTTTAACTTCTTTAAGAAAAGATTCATATAATATGATTTATACTCAGGTACCTTGGAAAAAAATTCAATTATCAATTATACATATCCTTCTGTATTGACTTTTCTGCCAAATTAGCATTAAAATTTTAATTTAACTTCTTTCAGCATCCAGTCCTAGCAAATCAAAGGCCAGTCTTGCTCTATCCTGGCGAGCAGAACTTAAGAGTGGCCTCCAGGTGTGGCCAATAGAAACAGTAATTCTATTTAGCAGGCAGTTGTTTAGTTTTCCCTGTTTAGAAACTTATGGCTTGGATAGAATTTTAAAACTGTAATCTTAGTATTTTACAGTGCTAAGTAACAGTCAGTGATAGTTAATAAACTTGTATTCATTCATTGATGTCTAAAATTAAATATATTAGACTCATTACGAAAATAGCTCAAATTTTTAGTTGCAACTGAATTAAAATTTAGATATTTAATTCTTTTTATTTTTAATATTTTATTCCTTTCATTTTTACTAACTTATAATTAGTTTAATAATTATTTTAGCCAGTTAGTTCTATATTCTTACAATTTCTAGTTGTTTTATTTTATTGTGGTCTGTCCTTATCCTATTTTGAAATTTAATTTGAGTTGTCCCTTAAGAGTAAAGGTACCATCGCTACGTTAATTTATTGAAGTCAAACCTTTGTTTTAAACTAAGGTTTTAATTGGAAATTTGAAGCTTTAGTATAATGTTCACAAAGGAGTATCCATTATTTATCAGTGGATGCCTGTAAATTAAAATATAAATTAAAGTAGCCATTCCAGTTCTCTTTAGTAGATTTATAGCCATGTAGAAATATTCCTTGACTTGCAACCACAATTGAGCAAGAGAGTTGCATGTTACGTGAATTTTGCCCCATTATCTTTCTTGCCCCCGTTGTTAAGTCAGTCACTGCAGTTAAGTTAGTAGTGTGGTTGTTAAAGTGAGTCTGGCTTCCCCATTGACTTTGCCTGTCGGAAGGTTGCAAAAGATAATCACACAACGCTGGGAACCTGCAACCACTATAAATAAATACATGCTATTTTGCCAAGTGTTTGAGTTTTGATTACGTGACCGTGGGGCTGTTGCAACAGTCATAATGTGAAAACCGGTCATAAGTTAAATGTCTCTGGAGATTCTCAGTCATCCAGGTCATGGTTGTCCCAAAGGTGCTTTTTTTTCATGAGGCCATTGGGCTTTCTGATTTTTCTTTGAAGACGTTTCACTTCTCAGAGCTGAAGAAGCTTCTTGGATGAGAAGCAAAACGTCTTCAAAGAAAAACCAGGAAGTCCAGTTGCCTCATGAAAAAAAAAGCACCTTTGGGACGGTCATAAGTTACATTTTTCAGTGCCTTTGTAACTTTTGAATGGTGGTTAAAAGAATGGTTGTAAGCCGAGGACTGCCTGTAATCAAAGTGTGGTAGCCAAATGAGAAGCCAAAAACTGTTCTGCTTTTATTTTTTAACATGGAGCAGGACACATGTAGGCCGTGGCCTACTTCTCAGTTTCGTATCCATTCTGATTCTGCTTTTCTTCCTTTAAAGCCCCTTCTGATCCCAGCCTATGGCCTCTCTTGAGTGTCGAGCCAGGCCTGCTGAATAGCTGAGCAGTTTTGCAATAGAAGTACTCCACCCCGAGTGTCCCTGTGGGTAGGGCAGACTCAGTGACTTCAACAGCACTTTGCAAGGGAAGGTTGGGAGTGCAGCCTCTTCATGCACAGCCAAACATATGTACATCTGGACTTGTCCTGCACATGCCCCGAAGCAGAGAAATAACTTGGAAAAGCTCCACCTTCTTCCCTTTGCCTCTCCTCCTCTGCTTCCCACAATCGGAGGACCTTGTAAAAAAAAAAAAAAGTGCATGAGGAATAACGGGATACAGGGATCTTAGAAAGAATCCAAACGACCATTTGGACAAGCAAGTGAACTTGACAAAAATCGTAGCTCTGAAAATACCGTACTTAAAAGTAAACCGAAGTATATAAGAATAGGAAAGTGCTTGCAATGAGAATGAACTCTGCTTCTGGGCCTTTAAAATCAGTCTGATTCGCAGATGTTAGCAGGCACTGCTAGGATTATACTGTGAAAAGAATAATCACCTGACTTTTGAAGCTAATGTTGCTTGATGTCTGAATAGATGCAAAATCTCTCCCCCCACCCCCCACTCCATATTGGCCAGGTAACCATTTCAGATATGAATATTATTTGCATTTTAACGTCTCCCAAGAGATTGTCCAGTTTTTTTTTTTTTAACAAAAAAACCCTTAAAAGATAAAAGATATTTTCACTACAAGTATATATTGGATTTATAGTGTTTAAAGTTCCCCTGCCTCCCCAAATCCTGGAAATTGTATTTTGATGTGCTGTGTATTAAGTTACCGGTAAGTGATGGTTAGTGCTCTTTCTTAGAACTACAAAATTCCCAGAATTATCTGGCAAAGTAAATTTATTTGTATTTACTGCCAGATTAGGGCCAGTCACACGCTAGTGGCAACAGAATGGTGCATCGGAGTATTTGCTTCCTAAAACTGTAGAGATGGTCCCATAAGCAAACTTGTATGGACAAGCTGCATCCTTTGGCTTTATAGATCATATTGAACATTAACCACCAGTGGCATTCACATCTTGCATTAAGCTATACTTGATTTAAACCTGGTGTACTGAAACACAATTGGATGTATAAGGTGAGAAGCCAGAAACTATGGCTTAACCAACCAGAAATTGCTGGATTTCTACAACATGCTTAAGTCAAACCTAAATAGAGCTTATTATGGTTTGGTGCAAGATCACTATATTAAAAGCAACAATATTCAACGGGGCCATCACACTCACCAATAAGAATGACTACGCTAGGCAGAAAGCTAAAGTTCTGCAGCAAAATTGCTCTTTGGGTCCTGAAAATTGGGGTGGTTTTGGGATGGAAGAGCCCTTGTTCTTCTGAAACATGAACGCAAAGGCTCTACCTTCATTGCACAGAGACAAGAATTGTCTGTAAAAAGAGTCCAAGCTGAGAATGTTCTAACCAAATTTACTTGCTGACTTTGATTATGACATCAAAGGTGTCTTGACCAATGATAGCAAGGCTGTTTTTTTCCCCCCTTCCTTTTATACTATCCTCTCTGATGGTGGCAGTGTTTGGGGGCCTTTGTTACATTCAGGGGTTCAGATCCATCGGGAGGGTGGAACTTCTGATCATCCTGGATGAGGAAACCTCCTTACTTCTCCCCTTCCGGGGACTGAAGGCAATTGATCAGGGACCGCTTTGGGGCAGGGATGGGTGGTGTGAGGGGATTGTAGTCCTCAGAGAAGGAAAGGGCTTGAAACTCTCAGAGGAAGCAAAACCCCTCTGCCCTGATCTGATCTTAACAATTGTGTGTTTTAATTGTATTTAACTTGTGAAGGCTTCCACCTCTAGGAAGCAGAACAGAAGAATCCCTTGTCCCAAGGGTCTCTCCCTTTGATGCAGACCCAGTAATGGGTAAATTAGCTGGGGTCTTTGTACCAAAAGGAGACAAGACAATTCTTCTTATCTTCCACCTTTTCAGCAAGGCATTCTGCATATACAACTTGCAGTTTCTTTATGCTCATCATGATGAGAGGTCAAAGTTGCCCGTTTGTGAAGAACTGAAAAGAAAAATTAGACAGTGCAGTGGGAATTCCACCCTGCTCACTGTGTCTCCATCATCTACAATGGAGCGTTGTCTTACTAGCTGTTTTTGCCTTGCCTGTCCCCCAACAGCCATTTTAACGAGTTCTCTCTCCTTTGCCATGCAGCCTTATGTCTCAGTGGCCCAGCAGATGGCACCTCCAAGCCCCAGTGGCAGCTGCAACAACAATAGTAGCAGCAGCAGCAGCAGCGGGCCAGGTGGTGGCGGAGGTGGCGGGGACCAGCTGAGCAAAACAAACTTGTACATCCGGGGCCTGCATCCTGGTACCACTGATCAGGATCTCGTCAAGCTCTGCCAACCGTAAGTTACCATAATCCAAGAAACATTGATGGTCAATCCTAGGGTTGGAAGTAAATGATCCAGGGGTGCCCAAATGTTGTGTGCTTACAGCTACACATTGGTCTGTGGTATTCTGTTGCCAGTGGGAATTGAACATAGCGGTCTTCTCCAGTATGCCCCCCCTCCCCCCCCCCCGTGGTGGCACAGTGGTTAGAGTGCAGTACTGCCTGCAATTTGGCAGTTCAAATCTCACCCGGCTCAAGGTTGACTCAGCCTTCCATCCTTCCGAGGTGGGTAAAATGAGGATCCAGATTGTTGGGAGCAATAGACTGACTCTGTAAACTGCTTAGAGAGGGCTGTAAAGCACTGTGAAGTGGTATATAAGTCTTAAGTGCTATTGCTAGTGCTATGGCTAAAACTTCCTCTTAACCCCTACCCTTCATGGTGCTACTGAATGCTATCCTCCCTTCCTGAATTCAGCAAAAAAACTACACTGGCATGTAATGTGTATCCCTGTTGCTAATCCCTATCCTGTCTGTACAACTTGCTCTTTCAATCCACTGCAGTCCCTGACTTCCTCCAGGTGACAAGTCCTCACAATCCTAGTGAAGCTGGGGGCGGGGGGGAAGAAAGAAAATAGTTCTGTAACACTAGTACAGCTAAGGATGAATGAAGTCTCTTGTTATGGCAACATGAAGGCAGTCATATGAGACATAGCATGTACAAAAATATTTGTACAAGTTTGGGGGCTAGTGGCAAGGTTTTGCCTTATTGGATCAGGCTCTTGGAGAAGGTATGTTCCTTCTCCCTGCTAAGGTAGATGGACTCAAGTGATGTGGCAACAAGCCAAATGTATGATTTACTAAGAAACATAGGCATTAAGCCACTTTCACATCATGTGCCTTATGTTGAAGCCATGAGGTTATCTATGTTGATGTCTGGAGGGCTTCATGGGCCAGAAGGAAAGACTTAAGAGAAAGCAGAAAGAGATTTAGTCATGTCACTAAAATTGAAGAAATTTAAGCTTTCCACAAATCTAGAACTCTCAGAGATTCAGTGATCACCCAGCTATTGTGGGGATCAATTCAGGACTATTTTCCAACAAACCAGGGCAAGTCAAGTTTGCCTACAGATTTAGCAGTTCTTTCTTCAAAAAGATAGGAATCAGGAATGTTTATTATTCCTTTGCCCTATTCGCCTATCTCCTCCCTACGGTTCTTCACCCATTTTCCTTTCCTATCCCTATTCCACAACTTAAACTGGAGCCAAACCTGAAAATGTATGGACCACAGCTTGACATTCTTCTACCTGGGCCATTTAGGATATTTTGGGTGAGAAGTCAAAAAATAAAATAAATGTAAGCACTATCCTAGCTCTTTCCATCACTTTGGTGAAGGACCATGTCTTCTTTGTAAGGATGGGAAGCTGGCCTGAATTCAGCCCTTCTGCTCTGGGTCTCCTGAACTGAAGTACAGCCTGAACAGGAAGGTCATTATTTGTAGGACTCAGGTTTTGGAGTGCTGCTATTGCTGTGGCTCACCTGTTTCTTGGATACTCGTGGAAATCTGTAATTCAGTGTCCTTGTTTTAAGGCTATCAAAAGCCTAAGACCTTAGTGCTATCTGCTGTATTGAACTCCCACGTCTTCCAGAAGCTCAGTGCAATACTCCAACCTTGACTAATAATCAGTGTTGCTTTGGTATCCTCCTGATTTGCCAAAGTTATCTAAAAAGTGATGGGAAGGCGCCTGACTCCCAGCTAAAGAGTTCTGAAAGTGACTTCCAGGGAAAAGAAAAAAAAAGAAAAAAAAAAGAGTTGGAGGGGGCTAAGTAGAGTGCAGTCACGTACACATTGCCTGCAGCAACATATTGACGTTGTGAAGTCTGTGGCTCCCTAATTGCCTGCCAGGGTTTGCTCTACTCTTCCGTCTCCGAGCCTTGCCTGAAGGAGACGGAGCAAAGCTATATAGTACTTGAAACTAGGAGGCCAGGAGGGGTGGGTGGGCAGGGGGCTGTTCCTCCTTTACCTCAGCTCACCCCAGTCTGGAATGCTGGATCTGGCCCCAAAGCCACACTTGACAAACACGCCTACTTCATACCAGGAATGTGTGAGAGAAGGGATCATGGATGAGAGCTGCAACCAGCGGCAGGGAGCTTGGGGAGGACCAAAGGGAAGGGAAGGAAACAAGTCCAGAGCTTAATACTGGCAGGAGCTGGGATCTGGGAATTCTGGGCGGCATTCCTGATTCTGCCCCTATCTTGCAACATTTGTGTCCGGTGCCCTCCTCCCTTTGTGCCTTCATTCCCACATCTGCAAAGCAATAGAAACTTCCCCCCTCCCTGCATTGGAGGTCTGACCACAACCACAGCATTCAGTATGATTCATCTCACTCTGAAACCCTGCAGCTGGACTCCCCTGAGTCCGGGGCTGGGAGGCGCCAGGACTTGGCTGTTCTTGGCGCCGGTCGGATTTCCTGGGCTTGTCCTTCCCTGGGCAGGAAATCCTGCTCGGGGTGAACAGGAAGCATCGCGGGTGGGGTCAGAGGGCAGCTGGGATGGACTCTGTAGGGCTCAGCACTTGGGGGAGGGGAAGAGAGCCAGAGTCCGCTGGCTATTTTTAAAGAGAAACTAATTCAGGGCTCACACCGGGGTTGGTTTGTTTTCTTTTTTGTAATAGGTTGGAGGAATTTAAGACGGTCTTAGAAAGACTGGACCAAGGAATTGCATGCATAACTGTGACTTCCCTTGCAAGATAGCGATAAGGAAGCTAATGAAAGGGTTTAAAAGAAAAGGGCTATTAGAGCCATTCTTGGCAAATGATTACACCACCAAGGCTGTTTCTAATTGTCCCAGAACTATTCAGGGGATGCTGGGATAACCATTCCCTCTTTTTTTCACTTCCATGGGAAACTGGGTTAGGAGCATATCCTAGTAACCATCTTTCCTGGCCCGGTCTTGGTGTTGCTGCTTTTCCTTTCCTCCCCTCCAGGATTTGTACCTGAAGCAGTTCAAAATTGTCCTTAGCTGCTTCAGTTAAAAACCTTACTTACCTCTTAAAGCTTTTGGTAAGCTCCCATGGTTTTGGCACGGGAGGTGTCTGGTATCGTTCACCAGCTGTTTGGTTAGTGTTGCCGTGAGGTCACCCCTAAAGGGCGAGATGGCATAACCACTTTCCTCTAATCCCTGGGCGTTTTCTTCAAAAACCTTTCCGCTTAAGCAGCAGGAGAGCTCTCATCCTGTACCAGCCCTCCGATCCCATGTTTGGTGATCTGTATCAGCCTAAATGGTGGGGGTGGGCTAGGCTTCATAGTGAAGCAGGAGAGACAGACAGACAGCCCTCTCTCGGCTGCTTCCCAGTGTAATTTTCCCCGTGAACTGTTCTCCAGGCCGCTTTTGAACATAGTTTTCGTGCCCTGCTAGAACAGCTCTAAACCCATATTTGAAATGAGCTTGAGCCAATTGATACTTGGGCTCCCTTTGACAGCACCTGTACAAAATGTGCGTGCAAAACCAAAGCAAGTTTTCACAGGTAGCCCCGCTCACTTATTGAGTCCTCAGTCAAAAGTTGCCTCTGCCTCATACCTCACCCACAAGCATTTTTCCCGCTACTTAGATTACAGATTAACAGAGTTGGAAGGGACCTTGTAGGTCATCTAGTCCAACCCCCCGCCCAAGCAGGAGACCCTACAGCATTTCTGACAGGTGGCAGTCCATTCTCTTCTTGAAAGCTTCCAGTGATGAAGCTCCCACAACTTCTGAAGGCAACTTCTGTTCCATTGGTCGATTGCTCTCACTCTCAGAAAATTTCTGACTTTGTGATGCCTGGAGAGGGGAAGGAATAAAAGTCAGTAGAAAACATATTAATCCCTGTTTTTAGTGTGTCGTGCTTGCTTATTAATAAGAACCAGCACCATTTGTCAACATCGTATCTGTGGCAGGATAGAGATCACCAGAGGCAGTTTATGTTATGCTGGTATAGTTTTCTGCTAGCTCAAGGACTGGTGAGAACCTCAGCAGTGCCTTTGCTATTTTAATATTCCCAGCTCTCACCTTTTGAGATTTTAATATAGGCTCCTGTAAGGACAACATTCAGGCTTTTATATATATCTATGGAAATGTTCTACCACCCAGACTCAGCATTCTGTACTTCTGGGACGGTATTGTGCAAGACTGGAATTTCAGATCTGGTGAGGAACTGCCCATCTTCCAGAGTTTGACATTTTATTTGTAAATTGTAATTAGGAGTGTGCAGTTTTCTTTTCCTTTCAAAGCTAAACCTCAAATATCACAAAAGTCATTCTACCGTGCACAGTATAAATTGTTGGATGCACCAACTTCGAATGTTCTCTAGTGCAGAGATGGGCAACCTCAGCTAACACAGTTTCTGGAAGTCTATGGAGATTCTCAGTCATCCAGATCATGGTTGTCCCAAAGGTGCTTTTTTCAAGAGGCAACTGGACTTTCTGGTTTTTCTTTAAAGACGTTTTGCTTCTCATCCAAGAAGCTTCTTCATGTCTGACCATGCTACCAAATACTGACTGCTTGATTACTGAATTTGAGCAACATGATTTCCCACCATTTGGAGACACTCGAGGGTGGAATAGGATTTATATTAAAAAACACAAAATTCCCATTCAAAAATGGAAGCTCAGCTTCAGGCTGGTGCATAGCCACCAGTCTCCTTCCTGTTTGTATCACTGAGCTCTCTGTAGCTCTCACTCCTCAAAAGCCGTAGCGTATGGCTTACCTCACCAAACTGACATAGCCTACCGATAGTCTTCAATTTGCAAGCCCAGTTGGAACCAGAATCTCATTTCCAAGCCAGGTGGACGTTAAGTGAGTCACATCTGAGGGTACAACTTTTTTTTTGGCCACAGTTTGTTAAGCAAATCGCTGCGGTCGTTAAATGAGTTATATGTGGTCCTTAAGCAAATCTGCCTTCTCCCATTGACTTTGCTTGTGGGAAACTGGCTAGGAAAGATGCAAATGGCAACCGGGCGACCCCGGGATGCTACAACTGTTGTAACTACGTGCCAAGCACCCAAATTTTGATCACGTGACTGTGGGGATCTTGTGACAGTTGTAATCGTGAGGACTGGTTGTAATGACTTTTTTCAGTGCCGTTGTAACATCAAACAGATGTTACAAGAGCCTTGGTAGTACAGGGGTTTAAGGCACCCTGTTATTAAGCTGGTTATTAAGACCAGCTGCCTGCAATTACTGCAGGGTTCGAATCTCCCCAAGGCTCAAGGTTGACTCAGCCTTCCATCCTTTCTAAGGTAGGTGAAATGAGGACCCAGTTGTGGGGGCAATAAGCTGACTTTGTATAAATATACAAAAGGATGAAGGCTATTGCTGAGCACATTGTAAGCCGCCCTGAGTCTTCGGAGAAGGGCGGCATATAAATCAAATTTAAAAAAAAAGTAAAATTAAAAAAAAAAACAGTCACTAAATGAATGATTATAAATTGAGGACTATCTGTAATCCAATTCAAGTGAAATCCAGTGTCACTTTGCCATTCATTTGCTGTCAGAACTAGTGGCCTAATGTCTTTGCAATTGGAAGAGCCTGCAGTTAATTAGTGATACCTCTTTGACAGCTGAGTTATCTATAAGGCTGCTCCGTATCTGTGAACCTATTGGGCTCTTTACTAACCACTGGTCAAGATGGGCCACCCACTCTCACTTCCCTGATGTCTTCCAGCTATATATTCTAATGTCATGGCAATCCATTTGGAGACCCAGTAGCTTTTTCTTTATATCCCCTCCCCAAAAGGAAGCAACTGACTTGTTGTCAGGTTCTCTCCAAACAGAGGCACCTATAGGTCTTCTCCTATTAAAAAATGCACAGTAGAGATGAGGGCTGTGCTAGATGTAATTTATATTAGTTACCATTTTTTGTTTGTTTCGTTCACCTTCCTGGCTAAGGGCTTTTTCACAGACATGAGCTATGGTGGCGCAGTGGTTAGAATGCAGTACTGCAGGCTACTTCTGCTGACTGCTGATTACCAGCAAGTTTGGCAGTTCGAATCTCATCAGGCTCAAGGTTGATTGAGCCTTCCATCCTTCTGAGGTCGGTAAAATGAAGACCCAGATTGTTGGGGGCAATGGGCTGACTCTGTAAACCGCTTAGAGAGGGCTGTAAAGCACTGTGAAGCGGTGTATAAGTCGTAAGTGTACAAATATGTGACAGAGACAGAGATATCCAGGGGACTACACAAATCTGAACAAACTTTTCTAGACACTTTCAGCTTCTTGGCTGTTATGGTGAAGAATTTACCATTCTTCTGTAGGATATGGGTGGGAAACCAAGGGCCAAATATCACCTGCGAAACATTCTTTTCTCACCAGTAGTGGACCGTGCTTGTCCTGCGGTTAATTGAAAAGCAGCTCTAATTCTTGAATAGAGAAAAACTGTTATTTTTCAGTCATCTTGGGTGGGGGTTTGGAGAAGAGTCTATGAAGGAGAAGTATTTCCAGGGAAGATAGTTAGGACCATTGTATCCATTTCTCAGATTTGCTTTAATTGCTGCGCTTGTTCTATCCCTTACCTTGATGCTTTTCTGTACTTACAGATACGGCAAAATTGTCTCCACCAAGGCCATCCTGGATAAAACAACCAATAAATGCAAAGGTGAGCTCAGCCTGGATTTTCCTCTCGTATGGAGTATATTATGTGGTATACGCAGGACCTGAATCAGAGTCTGGATAATGTGTGGGGTTTGTTTGGGGGGGTTCCTCAAAGGGGGAGTGCAGAGCTGTCCTGTTCACTAAATCCTTATATCATACACCACACACACACATACACACACACACACACCTCTTTGCAGTGGCTAAGAATTTAATCTCTCCAAAAGAGGGTTTTTTCCTTCCACAGCTTTGAGGCTGGCAAAGTTGAAACCCAGGTAAGGCTGGGGGGGGGGGACAGGACAGCTTCAGAATCGGATTCTAGAGCCAAGCATCCTGAGGGAGGAGGGGCTCAGTCTGAAGGTGGGGATGGTTTATTGGCATGAGGGTGATCGTTGTAGGGGGGGAGGAGTTGCATTCCTGAAATGCCAGACATTGCTGGGGAGAAGGAAAAAAAAAAAGATGGAGCCTCCACTCAGAGTACAAGCTGAAGGAGGAGGAGGAGGAGGAGGAGGAGGGGTGGGAAGAGGAAGAAGAGAAAGGGAGTTCTGCAGTCTGTATGGCTTAACGGTGAGGCAGATCCTTCTTCTCTGGCTTCCGTGCCAATGTTTGCTAACCCGACAGATAACATGAGTCTTGCCCCTCAAAATGATTGCTGTTTGTGGTGTGCTAGAGGGTGTGGTGCAGCTGAGAATGTAAAATAGGTGGGTGAGGCAGAAGGACCCTTCTCCTCTGCAGAGGTGAGTCTCTCCGCTACTCACCCGGGCTGTAGGAAGGATCCTCTATACGGGTAGTCCTCAACGTATGGCTGCAATTGAGCCCAAAACGTTATGTTGCTAAGTGAAACGTGTGCCCCATTTTACGACTTTTTCTTGCCACAGTTGTCCGGTGAATCACTGCAATCGTTAAGTTAGTAACACGGTCGTTAAAGTGAAACTGGCTTCCCCATTGGCTTTGCTTGTCAGAAGGTCGTAAAAGGGGATCACGTGATTCCCAGACATTGCAACCGTCATAAATATGAGTCAGTTGTCAAGCATTCAATTTGTGACCATGGGGATGCTGCAATGGTCCTAAGTGTGAAAAACGGTCATGCGTCACTTATTTTCAGTGACGTCGTAACTTTGGTCAGTAAACAAACTGTTGTAAGTCGAGGACTACCCGTACAAGCTGGAAACGGAACCTCCGAGGCCAATAAGACTTACCTTTCCTTTCCTTGAACATTCAGGATATGGCTTCGTGGATTTTGACAGCCCCACAGCAGCTCAGAAAGCCGTGACCGCACTCAAGGCCAGTGGGGTTCAAGCCCAGATGGCCAAGGTAAGCCTTGAGCTGCAGCCCTGCATGGCAGGACACTCCTCACTTCCACGAACAAGACTGGGAAAGTGCCTGACTCAAATCATCACAGTTATACTTCTAGTCCTACACCAACAAGATGCACCTTGTGATTTAGCCCTGTTGACCCAAGACCCTTCTCATAACCTGGCCATGATGGAGATGCTTTTTGCCAGAGTACATTCTCCAGCATTACTGTGTTACCCAGTATTTCAAGGGTACCACTGATGCTTCACTCCATCTGGTTGGGAGTAGTGATGCTGGGGACAGTCCCTACGGGTAGACCTGGTGGTGAATTCTGCAGAAACGTGGGTTTTCTATTCAAGCCATCATTCAGTTAAGGCCTAAAGCAGACGAGCAACTTCCACAGCTAATGTACCTTAGTATTATTGGAATGGGAATCAGACTCCAGCTGTTATGTGAGACTCTACCGTAGCAGATCGGATTATTTATCCATTAAGTTCAATATCCTGGCCTTGGAATCCCAGAATAATTTCCAGTATTACTCAGTCTCACTTGGTCAGGCCATGATTCCTTTCCCAAATTCTCTGGGAAAAGACTACTTCCTCCCCCCACACACACACAACAAAAAAAAGTCTTTAAAACTAGAGGTGTCAATGACTGAAAATAAATTGTTCAGTTATATGATGTATTAATTCTTTTTTTTAAAAAAACACACTTTGTATCTTGCTGATTGTTTTAATTCCGCTTTCCCCAAGCTGGTGCTTTCCAGATATATTGGTAGATGTTCTGGAAATTAGGGTGCCGCCATTTGGTTGGGGTTGGTTGCTTTGAACCAGCCGGCAATTTTGATATTGAAACAAGCTGCAGTTCCTCTTTCTCCTCCCAACAGAGAGAGAGAGAGAGAGAAAGAGAAAGAGAAAGAGAAAGAGAAAGAGAAAGAGAAAGAGAAAGCTTTCTTTAGCAAGGGTCCATGACCCAGTACCAGTCCGCGCCCCTTTGGGAACCAGGCCGTGGCCCCTTAGGAACTGGGCCATGCAAGCGGTGGGCATATGCAGAAAACCATCTTCTCTCCCCTCCCCTCCCTCCCGCCGGTGCCGATCCACAGAAAGATTGGGGTCCACTGTTCTGTAGACTAAATAAGCTACTACTCGAAGTAGAGAGCTCCATCATTGTGGTTCTGTATAAGAAATAAGTAATGCTCTCTTAGCCCAAGAAAATCTTCACATTTGATAGGTGGCAGATGTTGTACTCCAGTACTCCAGTAGATTTGGATTTACTAAGAGTAAATTACACTGTAATCTGTGTAATTGGGGAATTACACTGGGGAAACCTGTGATCGTCTACATTTTGGTAAATTAAAGCCATGGCCAGCGGTGGAATTGTCTTTGACAATCCAAGTATATATCTATTTGGAAAGAACACACAGCGTTCCCACATGCATGTAGGGCATGTATGTCATTACCAGTGTGCAGTTAGCACACTTGTGTATGTGATGTAGCCAACAGGCCATGTTTGCTGCCTCACTTGCTCTCCTTGGATGCTGGATCCTTCCAATGTTTCAGCTTCTCTTCATTCTGCTTCACAGCAGTGAGTCTCCCCAGTGGGGTTGCTCAGAGCAGAAGCCGGGCTCTCTACCGAGATAATACGTTGAGTTCTCTTTGTAGATGGAAAGGCCTCGGTATGCCTAGAGAAAGAGAGGCAGCAAGCATCTCAGCGGAGGCAGGTGACACCGTTCAGGAAGGGAAGGGAGAGTCCAAAGGAATGCGTCCCCGGGATGGGATGGACTATTGCTAGGCAACAGCCTGACTTCTTGTTTCCATAGCAACAGGAGCAGGATCCTACCAACCTCTACCTGTCAAACTTGCCTTTGGGCATGGATGAGGCTGAATTGGAGTCGATGCTGAAACCATTCGGACAAGTCATCTCTACACGTATTCTACGTGATGCCAGCGGCACCAGCCGAGGAGTTGGCTTTGCCAGGTCAGGCAGGATGGCTGGGACCAGGTTTGGGGATGGTTTGGTTTAATGGTACACTTCTTCAGCTCTACACAGTAGTGCTTGCTTAAAAGGACAAACTGGCATAGCCTCTATGTTCACTCGGGGAACCCTGCGAAATGTGATCCATTCACATCCCGTATGTGAACGAGCACCTTGAGCCATTCCTTTGCCCAAGGATGGTTTTCTGTAGAAATACCTGCACAGAAATTTGCTGGGCTAAATATTCCCTTACGCATGGAGCATGTGCAAATATGCTGAGCGTTTGCAAATATTTCCCTCTTGGTTTAAGGCGATGATAGGCATTTGCCTTTTTACAGTTCCATGCCCTATTCCCTAAGTTTTAGGGTTGGGATAGCTGTAGCCACACTCTTCTTCTGAGTTGGTTCCCTGGGACTACATATGGACACTTGGCTTTTCTATGCAAGTTTTTCTACCTGTCTCTGAAACCGTATTATTTTAGCTCGCTGTATGTTGGGTTTATTACCAGGTGTGTCTTTCCATTTCTCGTTCCCCTAAATGTGCCATTACTATATCACCAAATGTTCCTAAAAGATTAAGATAGGCTGCAGCGAAAGATGGTAGAGCATCGATACTCAAAATGATTCCTTTCCATATTTGGTTGGCAGACAGAAAAAGCTGAACTTCGGTGGGCGCTTCGTCTGTCCTAAAGCCTTACAACATGTGGCTAACTTGTGGGCCAGATGTTTTGATGTGGATTATAAAGCCGTAGGCTACCTCATTTGCTTTTCCCTTGGCACCCAACTGCTGTTCAGTCTTCAGTTTAGGCTTAGGTAGAAGCAAGATTTATTTATTTATTTATTTATTGGTTCAATTTATATGCCGCCCTCCTCCGCCCTTCTCCGGAGACTCAGGGTGGCTTACAATGCATTAAGCAATTTAGATATTTAGATAAGATATTTAGTTAATTGTTTGAGAGGGAAGGGGAGAAAAACTGGTAGCAGAAAACTAGTGATTTAGAAACGGCTTGATGTAGAACAGGAAAGCTGAACAAGGCAGAAGCACCCTTGAGCCTACAGCTTCCTGATCCACAATGTTGTTGAGCGTTGTTGCTAAGAAGGAAGAAAATACATCTGTATGCATTTGGTTCTTAATCCAAGATCACTGCTAAAGATCTGTAGTGTAGAATTATTTTTAGGCATAGGTGTGTACATCCAAGCTGCTCAGGCATCCACCTGGGTGGGCAGTTTTGTTCCACATTCTCCCTTTCCTGAGTTAGTTTGACCATTCTCTTCTGTCTTACATTGCCCCCTACTGGTAGATTGTCACATTGCAGCAGACACTTCCTGGCTCCTCCATATTTATTTCCTTCCTACCTGAAGAAGTAAACTTGGACTGTTAGGTAGAATCAGCACCGGTTGATTAATTACGTATTCCTGTTCCTTACAGCTGGTTGTAATGGATGAGGTTGGTCCTCATCAAGAGAGGAGAGAAACTAAAACACTTATTTCTCTCTCTGTCAAAGCCGCTTTGCCCCCCCGCCCCCGCTTTCTATCAAATGCTATAGTTCTAAAATATTTTTCCTGAGTCCTTAGATGTAGCATTTGAGAGCCAAAAGGGATAACGAGAAAATGAGGTGTCTAATCATCATAGCAGAGCAATGTGGAAACACAGGCCAGCATTTTGAAAGCTCCTTGAAATATTGGAACTACAGTACTTGGAGTCCTAAGTTCATATCCCGCTAGTGATTGGGAAACGGCTACATTTCAAAACCAGTGGATTGGTTTGCAAGTCCAGGTTAATTCTGATTTCAGATTTTGCATACTTGGATTCATTTTTTGTAAATCTCCCCAAAGAATTATAGCTTAGCTATCACATAAATTTTCCAAATTTGATCTGTTGGCTTTGATGAAACTTGATTAGGAGATTCTAGGAGAATCACGCGGATTGTTAATTCCTATCTACCTTTTCCAAACACTGATGCTTATCACAAGTCTCTGAGCATAACAGAAAGTTAAGTACCTGGATTTCTGATTACAGGGTTCTCCCTTAAGGACTCATCCCAATGTCCCTGTCCCTTCCTCTCTGCAAAGTCCTCTAAATCAGTGTTTCTCAACCTTAGCAACTTTGTGTTGATGTGTAGTTGAAGATTTCAACTTCCAGATTTCCCCAACTGGCTTGATGGCTGGCGAATTCTGGGAGTTGAAGTCCACTCATCTTAAAGCTGATGAGATTGGGAAATGCTTCTTCAAATGGAAGCAGGGCCATTTAAAGCACTGCTTCTCAATCTCGACAACTTGAAGATGCGTGTTGACATGAATTGGAATTGACATGGAGCTGTTTTTCAGTTCAGCTCCTCTTCAGTTCAGCAAAGTATATAAATGGATGAATTTCTCCATAGGAATGATGAGTCGGTAATGCTCACATCTAGTATATTTTGAGCTGCGGGTCCCATCGATTAGGAGCAGGTGGTCTAGACGTCTTGCTGAGGTTGTCCAATCATCCCTCCTGGTGGCTGTGTTGCCCATGTCTGAGGGACTTGGAATTCCACAACATTTGTTACCGAGCACATTCTTCTCCCTACCGTGTTTCCCCGAAAATAAGACCCTGTCTTATATTTTTTGGAACCCTGAAATAAGCGCTTGGCTTTATTACCATGTGCTCAAAAGCCTGACTGGGCTTATTATCAGGGGATGTCTTATTTTGGGGGAAACAGGGTACTTATCCTGAACAGAAACATTTGGCATTTTCTCCATTCCAGCTTCATGGACAATTTCTTGTCATTGCTTCCCCAGGATGGAGTCTACAGAAAAGTGTGAAGCTATCATCACCCACTTCAATGGCAAATATATCAAGACACCTCCTGGGGTCCCAGGTGAGAAAATACTATAACGGTGTGGGTGAATTGGTCCCTTTCCAGAGGAACAAAAATGTAAAGTAATAGAAGCAGGAGCAGCAGCAAGAATAGTAGTGTTTTTCTTGTACCTGTAAAAAAAGGGCACCATACAAAATAATAAAACAATGTCGAGACATTAGTACGGTAACTCCCTATCCTGCAATTAAGGTCACAACTACTATATAAAGACTCAGTAACTTTAAGCCCATATCTGTTAAAATAGGCATTAGAAGTCAGATCTAAACAACAAAACATTTTTGCCTATTTAAACCAGCTTGAAAAAAATCCCATAAAAAAGGAAGGTTTTAGCACTGTTTCAAATGCTTAAACTTCTGGGCATAACTCTGGCAGCAGTTGGTTCTAGAGGGCTGGCATTCAAATGAGAAAAAAAATCTCAAATCTGATGTCACAATTTTAGTGTGAAGTGGTACCATTCACCCATAGCTAAATGTTCACAGAGAGGAGCTACCATCAGATTTTCCAGTTAAGTACCGTATTTTTCGGAGTATAAGACGCACCTTTTTCCCCCTAAAAGGGGGTGAACATTTAGGTGCGTCTTATACACTAAATGTAGTCCCGCCCACCCACTGGCCCCCACCCTTTGGCCACTGCCTTGGAGCAGGTACCTCCTTGCAAGAAAACAGCAAGAAAAAACAGCTCCTTTCAACTTCAGCACAGCCTAATTAGCACAAGTTGATTGGATCGGCCTCCTGACTCTCAGCTGATTTGCTCTCAGCTGTTTTGTGCAGGGCTCTGCTGCTTGCTGCAAAGAGGTAAATTGCTGGAGCAGATATTTTTTTTCCTTGTGCTAATCAAGCTATGCTGAAAACGAAAATGAAAGTAAAGCAGGCAGTTTGCTGTTTGCTGCAATGGCAAAATTGCTCAGAGGCAGAGGGAGATTTTTTTCTTCTTCTTTTCCTCACCAAAAAAGATAGGTGCATCTTATATTCCGAAAAATATGGTAGATGTGCCTGGGAAAACCTGACAGCCAAAAGGCAAGATCCAATGAGTTAGCCAGCAATTAGAGTTGGTACTTTTCATAAATACTTACCATGTTTTCCCAAAAATAAGACCCTGTCTTACATTTTTTTTGAACCCTGAAATAAGCACTTGGCCTTATTGCCATGAGCTCAAAAGCTCGATTGGGTTTATTATCAGGGGATGTCTTATTTTGGGGGAAACAGGATAACCACTGATAGAGGAAAGAAAGGATTAATTCAGGAAAGGTCCAGAATAGCACACATTATCCAGATCATCCAATAAATAAAAATGTTAGGTGACCTGCTAAGAGACTGTTGCAATAATCCAGCTAAGGGATGATAAGGTCACGAAGCAATTGCTTTCCTGTTTCTGTGATGAGGAACTGATAAAGCCAATGAATATTCTTTAAATACGAACTCCAAGTTTTTTATTATTGCCTATTCACAACAATGTGAAGTTACAGTTTTTTAAAACTGGTGTTAGCCTTCATACACAGAGTTCTTCCCAAGAACCTAGGAAGTCATAAAGCATTAGGATAGGTATATGTGTGGATTCAAGCAGTGATTTTTTTCAATTGACAGGTGGAAATTTTGGGTAAGTGCAGATTTTTAAGTTCTGGCCCAGGTTTTTTTTGGTGTAGTACCCAGTGTGCCAATAATCACTGGGACACAACTTTTATGCCACATTTATTCAGTTTTGATTATTAGTTCTTGATACTTTGTAATGTTCTCCAGTTCTTTGTCTTCTATTCTACTATCCCTTGGTATTGTCACGTCAGTTATCCACATTTTCTTCTTCTCAACCACAGTTAAATCATTGTCAGTTTGTACTCAGAAGTCTCACAATATTTTAACCTGCTCATTTTCAACTCATTTTTCACCTCTGTGTTCCCACCAATTTTTCATTATTGATACATGGTCATTTTTACAGATATTCTAGTGAATCTTTTTTTTTTTTTAGATTTTTATTCTCTTTTTAAAAATTTGGTCAATTCAAGTCCAGCCTTGAGAACAAATTTTTTTCCCAAGAACAAAATTATCAGTGTTTTTTTTCCAATTAAAATGGATCATTGAGTTGGACTCACTAGTGGCAACTGGCTGCCCAAAACCAGAAAGAGAGAGAAGGGGTAAAATACAATAATCTTCACATTTAGTTTGAGATGGAGGGAACCATCCAGCCCAACATCAACATCCATCAAGGCATTTGGAAAGATATCCCCCTGGCTGCTTCATTCAAAAGTACATCTGTGTGTTGTCTCTGTCTCTCTCTGTCTCTGTCTCTCTGTCCCTGTTCCTATCCATCTATCCATCCATCCATCTATCTAACTAACTATCTGTCTATCTATCTATCTATCTATCTATCTATCTATCTATCTATCTATCTATCTATCTATCTATCTATCATCTATCTATCATCTATCTAGCTACCATTTATTTGTCATAGTGAAGCTGATTAAAAGAAATCAATGGATCCAAAAGAGCAATTGACAATGTTAATAAAAAGAACCCTGGGAGCCCTTACTTACAAAGGAAAAAGCTAGGATATGGTACCATTTCACATCACAGAAAAAATGTCCTGAGATAAGTAGGAATAAAACCATTGAAATGCAGTGTGAGCAGTTCCTTGGAGGTAACTTCAGAAGAGGGCAGTGTGACTGAATGGTCAGGGTTTCAAATGCAGCAGAAGGAAGTTACAGCGCTGAAACTGGAGCTAGCTAGTTCTCCCTTTATAATGCGTAAAAACGTGTTGTTGTATGTAACCCAATTGAAACAGGTCCATGAGACTGCTGACGGTGAGACAGGGAAGAAACAGAGAGCTACTGAAAAAGAACAATTTACCAGCCTAATGAGAAGAGACGGGGAGAAAGTAAATAGTAGTAAATAAAGGAAGGAGGGAATTGAATCAGAATGGCTGTTCTGATCAAATGGGTCTGCTAAAATTATTTTGGCTGCTGCCTCTTCCTGTGAAGTATGATTTAAATAATCTAAATCTGACCCAGTGCTAAAATTGTGGCCTAGAGAGGAGGGGTAAAACACTTCAACCAGGAAAAGACAGGATTGGATAAATCAGCAGATAAACAAGTTGGAATAGTAGGATGCTCTAAGAGGAATGTGTGGGGGAAGATTTGGGATCATTTCTTATATGCAGTAGAGTTAAGGAATCATACTTTTTCCCTGGAGTAACATTTCACAGCGTGGTTCTTGTGGAATCGTTAGACTTCACTCCAACAAAGGTATTTTATATTTATAAGAGGGATATTTTTATTTCCATATTTGTGTCCAGCTCATCACATCTCAAATAAGGTAGGGGAATCTACCAAAAGAAATAAGGGTTTCTTGCCATTTCCAGGCTGTGATCAATTGATCATGTCTGATAAATACAATATTGCATTGTCTTCCACTCGTTTCCCTTCGTTTCCCTTTATAGGTTGCTCCTTGTGGTGGTGAGGTTGTTATTATTCATTGCATTTATGTCCCCAATTTTGTCTGAACACTCCAGGAGCTTACATGGAGACTGACCTTAATTTAATTCCCACAACAATAAAGATGGATTATGCTTAGAGAAGATGGCTATCCCCAAATCACCTAAACAGTCTTTGTGTCAGAGAAGTGCTTGATCAAGTCACATCCGATGCTGTAATGGCTACAGCTACAGACTCTCTCAGTGCAGGCTGCGATAAAACTAGGCTGCATAACGAAACTGAATTTGGGGAGAGGAAACACAGCCCCTCCACTCAGAGGAAGCTTATATGATTGGGGCAGACCCATAAAAAATAGTCTCTTTCCCAACTATTTTATGCCTTCTTTTTGACAAGCTATTTTAATAACGTGCTTTTTCCAAAGTGGCCATACCTTGTGCCCTCCCCTTCCTCCCATAACTCACAGAATAGAAGCCCTTTTGGTTTTAGTGCATGTATCAGCTGGCCCTTCTGACTTGTTGGCCAAGGGCCCAGTGGAGGGAAGCAGGAGTGTCCTCTTGTACATAAGTGCTACTCATGTGGTAGTAATTCAGAATGCTATGTAGCTCTGTACATTCTCCCAGTTGTGGGAGAAGAGAGCAGTTGCTTGGCAACGAAAAGGAAGGTTAACCACAAGAGTTCAAGGAAAGCAGTAGCATGACACTGAAGTCTGCAAGTCTTTACATGGAAAGCTGACTGGGCCACACACACACAAACACTGTGGACGGAAGCTGTAGCATTCCCTACAAAATGCTAATAGGCCTAGCACTGATGTTAAAATAAAAGTCTGCAGATAGTCTCATAAAAGTCACAGAATTGATGCTAGCTCGCTCTTCTGACTGCCCCTTGGCACGGCTGGATCCTGAACAATTTGCAGAAGGTTTCATTCTCTTTTTCTAGCCATGAGGGGTGAAAAAGAAAGGAAGGAAGGGAAAGAAAAAAAGAGAAAGAGAGAGAAAGGAAGGAAGGAAGAGAAAAAAGAAAGAAGAAAGAAAGAAAGAAAAAGAAAGGAAGAAAGAAAAGGAAGGAAGGAAGGAAGGAAGGAAGGAAGGAAGGAAGGAAGGAAGGAAGGAAGGGTATCATTTGTGGTTCAGAGGTAGGATGAAGTCAAGGAGAAGAGACGAGGAGCAACTCAACTCTGTATCCAATGTGATCAGCCAAGGATGTCCATTTTAGATCTTCAGGTTGGATATAGCGGTTATTGCTACAAAGCAAAATAGCCTCCTGTTAATGAGTACATCACAAGTGGGACGGTGTGTGGAGTGGAATTCAGTGTATCCAGTCAGTGAAGAGAAGGTGTAGGTTTAGATTCAAGTACATCAAGAGAATACTGAGACATAGGAATATCATTCATACTAGGAGCGTCCAGATACGTTATAACAAAATGTCCCAAGGCTAATCCCAGCTTTGTTTTTGTTTTTTCCCCCCCCTGCAGCTCCTCCAGATCCACTGCTTTGCAAGTTTGCTGATGGTGGCCAGAAGAAGCGCCAGAATCAGGGCAAATACGTGCAAAATGGACGAGCCTGGCCAAGGGAAAGTGATACGGTAAGGGTGGGGGGTCAGCAGGGGGTTAGAGGGCTTCAGTGGGCACAGAATACCCTTTGGTCATATATGGTGGCCCAACGAGAACTTGATAAAAAGTTTATTTGACACGTTTGCTCCTAGCATGGAACTTCATTTTTTTGCAATAATTTTATTAAGAATTGTATTGTATAAATAAAACTAATACAAACTACAAAAGATTTTTTAAAAAGCCCAGTTAGTTAAGTATAGTTAACATTAACAACTTTTCACCCTCTCTTAAAATACAACCAATCATTTCTTCATCCCATAATCCATCCCATTCTCTATCAACAAATCTTTAAAACTTCATCACTCCATCTCCCCCAGCAAAAGTCCATTAAGGCTTAAGAAGTAGCAACATAACTATTGTAAACTATGTTCAATAAACCCATTTTGATTCTTCATTTTCACATTTATTCCTGATTTTCTTTAAACAAATCTCCCCGTCTCAGTTCTTCAAATATTTATTTATTTATTTGTATCCCATCTTTATTATTTTTACACATACCTAGAGATGGCAAAGATATCCAACACACCTTCCTCCTCCTGTTTTCCCCAACAACAACCCTGTGAGGTGGATTGGACTGAGAGAGAATGCCTGGCTCAAAGCCACCCAGCCAGCTTTCATGGCTGAGTTGGGACTTGAATTCATGGCCTCCTGCTTTCTAACCTCGTGCCTAGACCAAGATGGTTTATAAATAAACAAAACTTTTAAAACATTGTTGTCCAGTTCCAGTCCATATAAATCTATCAAACGTTATCAGAATTAGCAATCCATCTCTTTTAACCTTGATCAAATAAACCAAATACATAATCTTTCCCCTTTCTCATTAACAACCTTTAATCTCTTCAGATAATATCCAAACATCTGTTTTCTTTTTATGCTCTCTTTATGTCTTCTCACTAAATCATTGGCATCTTTTTCAAGGCCTTTTGTAAATCCAGTGTAAAGAGGTTATCCACATCACTCTTCATATTCTCCATGTTTCTTCACAGAAAAATGTTGACAATTTTAACAAATTCCTTTTACAAATCCCATATGAAGTGATTATTCACATCACTCTTCTGGTTTACTATTTCCATTTTTTTTCCAATCAATCAGTTTCACTTGTATGTCCAACAGCTTGTTTTTTTGTATCCACTATTCACCTTTTTCATCTGCTTATACATTTTTAAATCTGCATTTAGATAAATTTCAACTTTAGTCAATAAAATCAGTTTCTCCTCTGCAACACCATCTAATTTATCTATCCTGGCAGATTATTTTAAAGTTATTTTTGCGCCCAAAAGTCATATACTGTAGCTCACTCAATTAATCTATTGATACTTTAATTTCCTTGTGCCTTCAAAAGTCATCAGTTATTTGTTTTCAAAAGTAAACATGGAATGTTTCCCATAGGAAAATCCTTTTAATTAACTTCAAAGTAGTAATTCAAATTCATCTCTTTAATCTATTTGAAAATTTCTAGAATCCACCTTTTTCTGTATTTTCTGTAATCACTTTTTTCTGTATTTTCAAAAAAAGTTTTTACAAACTCTTAAATTCATGATTTCATGAAATCATACATTCACGATTTCAAATCTTAAATTCATGATTTTCCCAAAGAAAAGAAAGAAAACTGAAGAACAAAACCCTTGACCCAGTGAATACAATAAAAGTTGTGGTTCTGAAGATTCTCAATCTTTAAAAAGCAATAAAAAAATACAGTCCAAAGTGATTAAGAAGTGAGGTTTTGTTGAACCTTGAGTCTAGGAAAGGCTACAGTAAAGTCTCTGGCTCATGTGCATATAGTCCTCAAATTACAACCATTTGTTAGTGACAGTTCAAAGTTACAAAAGCCCCCCCCAAAAGTGACTTACAACTGTTTGTCACACTGATGATCATTGTAGCATCCTCTTAGTTATATGATCAAAATTGGGATATTTGGTAATTGGCTCATATTTATGACGGTTTCAGTGCCCCTGGGTCATGTGATCCCCTTTTGTGACCTCCTGACAAGCAAAGTCAATGGGGAAGCCAGATTCGCTTTACAGCCATGTTACTAATTTAACAACTGCAGTGATTCACTTAACAACTAAGGCAAGAAAAGTCATAAAATGGGGGCAAAACTCACTTACCAACTGTCTCGCTTACCAACCGAAACCTTGGGCTCAATGGTACTTATAATTCGAGGACTACCTGTAATCCCACGACTGCCAGCTGATAGCAAGCAGCGGCAAAATCCTTGATTTCTACCATGTACTCACAAAAAAATAGCTGTCTGGAATACATATGAGTAATCTCAAATGTCTCCTTTCTCTGGAGAAATTTTGGTTGTTTGGATCCCACATCCCGCTACCATTTTCAACTGTAATCTCTCCCACCGCTCCGTGGTAGGTCAGTGTACTATTTCCTCACGGGAAGTCTACAGCTGCATCCCTGGCATGGAACTTCCTAAGCGAACTGGTTTGCCATCCCTCCCTTTGGATTTTGTGAACTGGCCACAAGATGTGCAGGCTAAACTCAGAGGCAGGAGAACGTTTCCTAACGGCTTGACTGGCTCTACTGACATGCCACTAAGCTGGTTGAGAGAACAGGCTCTCTGCTGGCCTGGAGAAGGCTTGCAACTTGTTCCTGGACAGGTGAAATTAGAATTAGAATAACAGAGTTGGAAGGGACCTTGGAGGTCTTCTAGTCCAACCCCCTGCTTAGGCAGGAAACCCTACACCACTTCAGACAAATGGTTATCCAATATCTTCTTAAAAGCTTCCAGTGTTGGAGCATTCACAACTTCTGGAGGCAATTTGTTCCGCTGATTAATTGTTCTAACTGTCAGGAAATTTCTCCTTAGTTCTAAATTGCTTCTCTCCTTGATTAGTTTCTACCCATTGCTTCTTGTCCTACCTTCAGGTGCTTTGACTCCCTCTTCTTTGTGGCAACCCCTGAGATTTTGGAACACTGCTATCATGTCTCCCCTAGTCCTTCTTTTCATTAAACTAAACATACCCAATTCCTGCAACCGTTCTTCAAATGTTTTATCCTCCAGTCCCCTAATCATCTTTGTTGCTCTTCTCTGCCCTCTTTCTAGAGTCTAAACATCCTTTTTACATCTTGGCGACCAAAACTGAATGCAGTATTTCAAGTGTGGCCTTACCAAGGCATTATAAAGTGGTATTAACACTTCACGTGATCTTGATTCTATCCCTCTGTTTATGCAGCCTAGAACTGTGTTGGCTTTTTTGGTAGCTGCTGCACACTGCTGGCTCATATTTAAATGGTTGTCCACTAGGACTCCAAGATCCCTCTCACAGTTACTGCTATTGAGTAAATCATAACTATTGCTTCACTGAGCTGAGAATGTGGTGCATTGGGGAAGAGGAAAAGGCATGAGCCATATGTGAATTAACTATTGTTTCCTGCAGGGTGGGATGACCTTGACTTATGACCCTACAACAGCGTTACAAAACGGGTATGTCTTTGCTCTTGTGCCTTCACCTTTTTATTGGTACAGTAATATTTTCCATTAGAAATGATAGAAAAATGGGGCCTGGCAGAATTAAACTGGCATGGCAGCCATTGGGAAGAGAGGTCTGCTGAGACCTCTCTCGGTTTATGGACAGACTTTTCTAACAGCCTACTTCTATTTTCCTCTGCAGGTTCTATACAACGCCCTACAGCCTGGCCCCGAACAGGATGATTGCCCAGACTGCGCTCTCCCCTTATCTCCCATCACCTGTTTCCTCTTACCAGGTGTGTTGCTTTTGAAGCTAATACTGGAAAAGACAAGCCAGGACCTGAGTCAGTACAAAAGACGAGAGCTTGGAAACAGTTGTACTAAGAATGGGAAGGAGAAGGAGGCAACCTTTCTTTTCTTCCCTTCAGAGCAGGGGTCTCCAACCTTGGGTACTTTAAGACTTGAGGATTTCAACTCCCAGAAGCATGGCTGGCTGGGGAATTCTGGGAGTTGAAGTCCGCAAGTCTTAAAGTGCCCAAGGTTGGAGACCCCTGCTTCAGAGGGCTTTAACAGATTGTTGCATCGGCCACATACAATAACAAGATTCCGTGATTAACATGGCTTGGGGCCACTAATAACGAGTCAGAAATGGCAAGAAATGATGTGACAATATTGTGAAGGACCGAGCCAACACGGCCGGGGCTGATGCATTTGTCCAATCCCTTGTGTTTCCCCAGCAGAGAAAAATGAGAACACATGTCTTGATTTTTTTTTTTTTTAGAATAAATGGAAGGTAATTCTGGTTGACTTTCCTGTTGTATCTTCTATTCAGCTAGCAGATGTCACCTCGTCTAGACAAAAAAGTAGTTTAAGGAGAGAAAATGGTAAAAAAAAAAAACCTCTATCCGCTGACTCTGTGTGTGACAGGGAAGGCCTGCCTTTATTAAAGTGGCCTTCCAAACTGCATGACCCATGATCAAAGATTACGGGAGTTGTAGTCCAAAACCCCATTTTTAGGAGGGAACTCAGAGTGGGGCAAGACAGGTTAAGCAGGAGGACCCAGTTTGTGGGGGCAATAAGCTGACTTTGTATAAAAATATACAAAAGTATGAAGGCTATTGCTTAACGCATTGTAAGCTGTCCTGAGTCTCCAGAGAAGGGTGGCATATAAAAATAAATAAATAATAATTTAAAAAAAGCAGAAAAAACTACAAGGGTGTGGGCCAGGGGTGGGTTCTACTTACCTTTACTCCCGGTTCGCAACGGGGCCGCGCACACAGAAGCATTTTGATGACATCAGGGTCAGTGGGCGGAGTTTCCCGCCGGTTTTACTACCGGTTCCATAGAACCGGTGCGAACCGGGGGCAACCCACCACTGGTGTCGGCTGTGAACCAGAAGTCCTGTGTTGAAATCTTACCTGCATTACTTGGATATTGTTTCTCAGTCTCCTCCATGACGGGGATGAATAACTCAATCTTCTTTTTAGGATCTACTGTTTAGCTAAGAGACCATATATAAAACTTGCTGTCTTATTCTAGGTCCACAGTCCATCTTGGATGCACCATCAGTCATACCTCATGCAGCCCACGGTGAGAGCTATTTCTGCCTGCCTGCCTGCCTACTACCTACCTGCCTACTACCTACCTACCTACCTACTACCTACCTACCTGCCATCTACCTACTACCTACCTACCTGGAATCCTTCATTAAGGAAAACTTTGCCAAAGTTCTCATGGTGCTGAATAGTCTTTTTAATTGTGAATTCAGATGGAGCAGTGAAAGTTGGACTTGATGGCTGTTTTGGGGGGTTTTTTTGGAAACTTGTGAGACCTTGGACTTTCTCCCTTTCTAGTCCAAATGACAGGAAAAGTGATTAAATTGTGTGATTGTTTTTTGTTTTGTTTTGCTTGTCTTCCTGGGCCAGGAGGGTAAAAAAACCTTATGTGTCATCTGTGTTAAAATAACAACTAATATACTTTACTACTCAGTGGGAAAAACTTTTTTGTTTTTAATTCAAAGTGCTGTGTGGCCTAGCGTGCTGGTCAGCATGTCTCAGCTTTTCTAATTATCCCCTGATTTGAACTTTTGGGAAATGTAGTACTTTCATACCATTGTAATGCACATTGTTCTTAGGATGTCTATAGGCCAGGGGTGGGCAACTGTGGCCCTTTTACAACTTGTGGACTTCAACTCCCAGAATTCCTGAGCCAGCTTGGCTGTATCAGGAATTCTGGGAGTTGAAGTCCACAGGTTGTAAAAGGGCCACAGTTGCCCACCCCTGCTATAGGCTCATCCCTTCATTACTTTCCATTTTGTCTCTAATGGTGCCCTCTTTTACTCAGTATTTTGTTCCCAAGCAGGGGACGGTGCTCACACCTGCCATGGACCACGCCATTTCCATCCAGCCCACTTCCATGATGGGGCCTCTCACCCAACAGCTGGGCCATCTGTCCCTCAGCAGTGCTGGCACAGTAAGGATTCTCCTTCCCTTTTTTTGTGGGGCTTGAGACCCAGTCCTGCTGCGGCCTCTTGATGTTTTTTCTCCTTCTTGCCAGTATATGCCAGCGGCAGCAGCTATGCAAGGAGCCTATATTCCCCAGTATACACCGGTGCCTTCCTCTAGTGTCGCAGTTGAGGTAAGAGGCCCTTTGGTCCTTCCTGCTTAAATTAGGAATGCTTCCTTGGTTACAGATTTATGCCTTTAAACAAAAATGCCTCACGCTGAGTTCACATAATAACTTTGAGTAAGCTAAAATGGGGATGGGAAATGCGTGGCTTATTTTCTTCCGGAATCTCAACCTTAGCCATGGCAACTGGCTCTTAACATTAAGCCATTTGGGGGTGTGGGGGGGTGTGAGTGAATCACATAACATGTTATGTGAACACAGCAAGTGTGGTTTATTAACTTGGGTTTGGGATTTGGTGTGTTGTGTGAACTCGGCCTCTGGACTGTATATTGTCTGGGGTATATTACATGCCTATTCAGAGATTGCTCACCTTGCACTGATACACATTTTGGTTTTGTGTGTTTCCAGTAAAGAGGAACAGGTTACTGAGGGTAAGTGGGTGGGTGGAAACCCAGAGCATGTTTTATAGATTTTTGAAATGACATCCCTTAAATGCTCAGGAATGGAAGAGGATTCCCATATTCCACTGCCACCCTTGCCATGACTTTTGTGACCTTTTCTTCTTTACCACCACCGCTCTGTCCTTAGGAGCTATGGCATATAAATGCTTCGGATAATGATGTTTACCAAAATAGTTTAAATTAGTCTGGGAATTCGATCAGCCGCTGATCTTCAATAGGTCCTATTCTGAAATGAGCTCTTCCTTCTACCCACTGGTGTCTTCCCACAGAGGCCCTTGAAAAGTTTTCCTTCCCAGCCACATAGCGTCTTTCTATGTCGAGCGTTAAAAAGGCAACGTGGAGAAAGCCTCTTGAGTCCCATTGCAGGGTTGGGGGGGTCTGTTTGTGGGTAAGATGAGGAGTCTCTGGAGACCAGTTTCCTGTTGGTAGAAAAAGCACACGGCAAGCTGCTGAGCTCTTAAGGAGGCAAGTGGAGAGGTCCACATTCCCTACCGAGCCACGTAGCGATTTGACCTTGCTCATCTTAGTGGGGCTGAAAGGTTTGGGGAAGATATGGCTACCATCCCAATTCCCCCAATGGGTATTTTGTCACAGGAGAACAGTGGCCAGCAGAGCCACGTGACAGTGGAGTCTCCATCGGATCATGCTGCCTACTCGTATCAGTACAACAAGTAACAACAGGTAAGGACAGCAGGGGGCACTGGCATATATATATATATATATATAGATATATATTAGTCTTTTTCTCCCAGAGATAGCTCCGTTCTTTTCATTTACTTGATCCTTTGCCAGTTCCGGAAAATAACTGAATTTGGAGCTCATGGCTGGTGCCTTGGGCATTAGCCCTCGAGCACAGGAGGGTCCTTCTCAGGGTAATTTGAGCAATCTGAATAGATTCACCCCCTTTTGTCTCCTCCCAAGAGGAGGAGGAGAGGTGCAGAGAGTAAAAAAGATGAGAGAAAGCAAGAGTTAGGAGTCCATTGAAGATATTTTCTCCAGCAACTCCAGAAACCTGGATTTGTCTCATCCACATGCCAGGAAGATTCCTTAAAGGAGGTTAACGTGGCATTTGAGAACTGGGACATTGACTAGAACTGGGAATATGTCATAGAGGAGTATGACAGAGGAACCTCGATCGCTATTTTACAGCATCCAGTCATGGTCAATTGGAAAATGAGATCCAGGGTCCTCCCCTCCCTGTTCTTTACCATAGAGGGACAGCAAGTGTGGCTTGGAAATTAAACACACACACACTCCCCAAAGTCAAAATCCACCCGATGTGATTCAAGTAACTGCAGGAAACCGGTTTGTGGACTTGTGCTTAAGCAGGATTTAATTTCTAAAAAGAAGACAAGAGAGTTGCCAAGCAGAAGGCTTGTAGCAGAGCCCCGTGCTTCTTCCTGCTGCTTAATTTAAAAGAGGGTTTTGAGATGCTTTAAGGACAGACGGGGCTGAACTACTCTGAACTACTACTCTAAATAAGGGAAAAGGAAGCCAAGAGGCTAGACTTGAGTCTCCACCTCATGTTCCACAGAGCGTTTCTGGAACGAGCCGAACATTTTTCAAGTGTGTGGCCTTTGTTCCCAGAATTCTTAGCGGTAGCTGTGGTAATTGGGGCATTCTGGGAGTTGAAGTCTCCACATCTGGAAATCACCTAGGTTGATGGAGGCTGTCCCACCTCCCAAGTTCCAAGAATGAAGAAGAATCCAACTTCTCACTGAGATAGGATGCAGAATCTCCTCCTTGTCCCAGGAACAGGCCCAGTGTCTCTGTTGGCTTCAGTTTTTTCTATCAGGATCGTCAAATTTGAACCTTGGGGCACAACCACAAACTGAGTGAACAGAAAGTGGATTGTTAATGAGACTAATAAAGATTCTCGCCTTTGCATAGCCTGGCAATTTGTGACCCAGTGATCTTGAAAGGTAGGTGACCTTCAGGAACAACTGAAGATCACCTGCTGAACCTTTTGCATGCCAGCCTCGTTTGTGCAATGAGACTTATATTATATATTGATCTTTAAGGTGTCACAACACTCGTTGGTTCTCCCAAGCAGGCTAATATGACCCTCCATTTGGAATTCTGAGATCAACTCTCAGAATGACCTTTTTTTTTTGAAGGTGCTCCTAGTGTGACATCAACATTTCCCACAGTGAACACTTGAAGGAGGTCAATGGTTCTGTGCCTCAGAGGGGCGTCTCCTTTGTTCGCTGCAGGAAACGCAGGGCACGGCTTCCTGTAGCAACTGTTCAGTGTAGAGCTGCCCTAATTAATTCAGACCTAAACATGTCTGCCCATTCAGTTCAAAGTCCTTCTCCCACATAGGTAAGTGGCTGAAGGTTGAAGCCGAGTGGCTGAGAAGGTCGTGTGTGCTCAGATAAATCCTTCAAAGGCTTCCTAACATGTTGGACACTAGGACGGCTGCCAGAAGCGGGGAAAGAGAGGCGGAAGGACAGGGGTCCCCAAACTTGGCAGCTTTAAGACTTGTGGACTTCCAGAATTCTCCAGTCAGCTATGCTGGCTGGAGAATTCTGGGAATTGAAGTCCACAAGTTTTAGAGCTGCCAAGTTTGAAGACCTCTGCTGAAGGAAGGCTTGGGAATGGGACGGTCTCTCTTCTTGCTTACTACTTTGTGTGCCACACTAACTACCTCCCCCATGGTCTTTGTTGCCCACTCTTGTAATTCCCTCTATTTTTCGTCCCTCTAGTGCCACCGAGCAGCTCAACTCTGAGCAATCACTTCGAGGGAGACAACGTGGTTTTTTTTTTTTTTGGTTAAAATTTTGTGCTGCGTTTAGAAGATGTCGGAACCATTTTTGTTTCTTTTTTTCTTCTTTTTCTTTTTGGCAAAGAAAAAGGTTGTTTTGTTTTTTTAAAAAAGGAAATAACCGCAATAGACTTTTGTCACCGAGGAACCAAAGGAGGTTAGAATGGGGGTACAAAAAAAAAATAATACCCCCAACCCTTAGATGTACAGATGGACTAAGGACTATTTTAATACGAGAACATTTGTGCGTGTATGTTTGCGCGTGTGTGTGCGTGTGCGTGCGTGCGTGTTTATTTTCTTGATAACAGCAAAGTCAAACGCTTTGGATGCCCCAGAATTCCCCAGAGAAGAAAATGAATTTTTTTCCCCTTCTTTTGGAAAGCTGGTTCGGTACCTCTGTGGGAGGAAGGTTTTTTTGCTCCTTTGAATTCATTTTGTTTTCTTTGGTCATGTAAAAGATTTTTTAAAGGACAAATATGCAAAAGTGTTTGAATATTTTTTTTGTTGTTGTTTTATAAGGAAAAAAATGCTCTGAAAAGCCCCACCTCACAGCTGTAGGATAAAAAATCAGTGCGGAATTCTTTTTTTTTTCTTCTTTTTCTTCTTCTTCCTTGGGGTGGGAGCGGGGAGGGAATTTTGCTTTGAAAGGATTATTTTATTATTTCAAGAGGGTATTTTTTTTCTAAAAAAGACAAATTTACAAAAAAATAAAAAAGAGGAAATTTACAAAAAAAAAATTCAGAAAAAAAAGGAAATCTTAAAAAAAAAGTTGAACTTTGGCGGCAGCAAGAGGGGTCTGCTTAATGCTTGTCATGTTGGAATGAAATGATGCGGCTGGAGGCATCGGATGAACTTAATCCTGGTTTTTTTTTTTTTTTTTTTTTTGGCATAAATTTTGCCTCAGCTGAGAGAGAGAGAAAAACAGAGTTTGCGCCAGACCTCAATTTCTGCCCTCTGTCCAATTGGACTGTTTTTTGCTGGATGTTTTGGACTCTGATTTGAGCTTCTGTGCAGACCTGTCTTTGCTTCCATGGGGAGGCTTCCCCCCTTCGCCTACCCCGTCCTGCCCTGGACCAGGGGAACAATAAACGGACTAAGGAATCTGCCGCCAGTGATGCGTCGTCACCTCTGGACTCTCGGACGTTGAATGGACACGTTGCCAGCAGCAGTGCTTCGCCCCGTCCCCATCCCCGGGATACACAAACACACACACATTCTTACACGCACACACACACAGACACACACACACACACACACACAGTGCCTTCTGCTGCCTGCGGTCCGGACTGTGCTGCCGTAAGCCCCCCCCCTCCCGCCCCCCAGTTCCTGCATGCCTGCCAAGCCCAGGTCCACAATGCATCCGTTTTCTCTCGACCAACTCAGCTGGGAACAGGTGCTTCTCCTTCCGACTGGTGGGGACTGCAGGAAGCCCGTCCCGATTGCCGTGAACCAAGCAACCAAGGAGCATCGAGCACCTTGCAGGGGATGTCCCAGCTCCCCGCTGTCTGTCTCCCCTCCCACTTCCCCTCCGGAGACCCTAGTTACTATGCACGTTATCCCTCCCTCCCCCAGCCCTTGATTGCTGGCTGCGCCCTGAGATTTGCAATAGGAGGAGACTATGTGCAATAATTCAGCCTTTCCTACCTTGTGTTTCCCTGCAGAGCCTCCTGAAGTGCTTTAGACACCTCTGCATGTTCCCTTCCCCTCTCCCCCCCCCCCCCAACCAGATGGTGCTAAAAGTCATCCTCTCTTCCACCATAAAGTCACCCCCAGCCCAGCCCAGCTGGCCCATGTAGCTGACCCTTCCATCCTGTTGTTCCGATGACGACGTTTGCTTTTCCCACCGTGGGCTGTGATCACCTTGTCCCCCTTTCCTCTCCTCCCCCATCCTCCCTGCTGGCCCCTTCCTTTGAAGAAATGGCTCTTATGCAGCTGACAATCAGGAAGGAGCAATGGCGGAGGCCATACGGGTGTCACGTGAGTCTAGGAAAGCGAGAGTATGTGTGCATGTGGTCCCTATCTGTCTTGGTTTGTGTGCGTACCATCCATGTCTTTTGAGGGAGTGGAGACAGATCTGTGGGTAGGGGTGACGTTGGAGGAGGTGGCATAAATATATCGAGTGTCATTTGGATTTGTGCGTTGCTCAGGATCCTTTTGTCGTCTTGACCATTTTGAAAGCATGGTCCTGACCCAGCAAGGGCAGGTTGACTTCCTGTTGGAGATTTGAGGAGGGCTAAGTTCGTTGAGTATCCTCATAATCCTTCAGCTAGACTAGTTTAGATACCTTCCCGCATTGCTCGTGACGAGGGATGACCCACAGACACGACCGTGATGCCACCCAGAATAGAGAGACAAGACCGACAATGCAGGAGCCCAGTGGATCCAAAGGCTGGCTACGTTTGGTGCCCCTTTCTCTAGCCTGGCCAGACCCTCCTGGTTGGCCTAACCACCACCCCCTCCCCCTAATGCTGAGAGAAACTGAAGTGCCTTTTTTGGGGCATGCAAGCTTGCCTTCATCTTTATGTTATGTGATCTTCAATGGGCCGTTATCCGTGGCCAAATGGAGTTTTGCAGGGTCGGGTCCCAAAATGGGTTGGGGTGGCTAGTTAGAGAAACAATTAAAAAAAAACAAAAAACCAGTAACTGAGATTCTGGTTCCAACTAACTCAGACTATATGGGGGGTAAAGGCAAAGGAGCACACAGTCTCTGCAGGACTAGTAAAAGAACTTCCCAGCTAGGTTGGGGGTTGATACCTACCCCCCTTCCCTCTCATTATTTGCCTGCAGAGCTCACAGGCCAAACTACAGGGAAACTTTGAAACCCCTCGCATCTGCACCCAGAGTAAATGCACGCTATAAAAGGATTCTACTTGAGAAATTGGTTCCAGGTTTGCTCCAAATATGGGCTGCAACCTCCGACTACATCGGGGTACACCTGGTCCTTAACAGGCCACTCTCCTGCCTCCCTCCCCCCAGCTTTTTTCTTTTTAGCAGCTTTTAGAAAGGTTATAGCAGATACCCTCGGTACCCTGAGTTTTCTCTTTAATCCCCAGGACTCTTTCTTATGCATTCCAGGTGGGTTAAAGCACAGCTCCACATCTGGAAGACACCAAGTTGAGGAAAGGTGTCCTATGAAATTTTCTTGGGAGTGGGTGAGATCTGTAGAAAGGCACACACTCCCCCTCTTGTTTTGATAGGATTCGTGCTGCCAAATTTCTTGCTAGGTTAGGATTCTTAGCTGCTTGTCCAAATCAAGATCTTGCTAAAATAATTAACAGTGGGTGGTTAGTAAAACCCATGTTTTTTTTTTAAAAAAAGAGGGTGATGTCCACAGAATCTCCTGATCCTTAAATTTGATTCCTACAAATTGATATGTTTACAATTATGATTCTTCTGGCTTGTGTTAATAGACTTAACTTCAGTCACCTCCAAGCACTCCTTCCCCCTCCCTATTTTAGATTGGAGTGGGAAATATGCTAGATATTTAGGCATTTGATGATGGCAACTAAGGATCTCATGGGTTTATTCAACTCCTAGATTAAAATTTAGTCTGCGCTTGTAGGGCCTTTAGAATGAGGCCATTTTTAAATGTAGCAGTAATCAAAGAAAGTAAAATTAAAAACTCCCTTTTGTTAGACTCTAACTCGGAAACCTGTTAGAAAATAAACACCAAGGATTAGGCTTGACTACGTTATGTTGCCTTTAGTGTAAACTTGAAGCAGGTAATGAAAACATGAGTTAGCTTTCCAGCCCTGTCATAGCTTTGGCATTCAGGTGTAATCATTAAAATCAGGGTCTCCGTTTTCTTAAACAGTAGGAACAGCATTGAAATTAACTAAATTATTTATTAAAATCATTAAAAATCATTGATTAATTTAATAAAGTAAATAAAATTAGTAAATCCTGATATCAGGACTTTAAAACAGATAAATGCCAAACCTTTGACTTGGTTGGGCATTGTCTTCAAGCTGTAAAACAGAGCAGCAAACTATGGGGATTTGAACCCAAGCTAATTTGGGAGATCAAAGAAGTTGTAGTTAACTAGCTACCAAGTTTATTTTACTGCTTATATGAAATGAGGAGTATCCTAGCTTCCTAAACTTTATCTCCAGCACTCAGTTTAAAAAAAAAAAAAGCAAAGAAATCCAGGATACAACTCTGTAAAATTTAGTTACGGTTAAGAGAGCAGTCCTTACCAAGAAGGAAATCCCCATAAATTCAGGAAATTAACTTTTAAGTAAATGTGCACATTCCTGTGTTTTGTAGCCGTAGTGAAACCTCAAACACCCATATGGTCAGTGAGTGGGGAAATGTTCAGGGTGAATGGGGGATGTGGATTTGTAGACCCGCCCCCAATATTTCTCTCCCATCTCTAGTGCAATGCTAATCTGACCCTCATTGAACTGCTGGGATGCTTATCCATGCACCGAAATGTATGTCTGCATCGAAAGCCCCCAACGGCTCTGTAAAAACCAAGTGCCAGATCAAGAGTTGCTTTGGAAACAGAGTTCCTTCTTGCAGCGTACCTGCCTGCCCAGATTGCTTTTCTGAGCTGTGCATTTGGTTTTGGGCTGCCGTTAGATACCTAGCATATCCTAAGCCAAGTTCCCACCCACAAAGAACATGAAACTTTCCTCTGTGTTGGCTGTCCTTTTGACAGCATTTGTCCCAGTCCGGGGTATATGATCTGCTTATTAAAAAAAAATCACGTAGTCCTCTCTTCTTTATGATGATGCTTAATGGATCCATAAATGTTTGTGGCAAAGAGCTAAATACATGTTTGCCAGCAAGGAGGCAACCCACTCGTGGTCTAGTCTAGATGCATCCCACTCATATAATCTTGAACCCATAAGACAGGATCACAGCACACCCACTTGTCCAAACCGCAGTGTTCATTTCTAAATGAAGACAAAAGGCCTCAAAGCTCCCTGCCTTATCATCCTCCTTTTTTCCCCCTGATCTCTGAAAGCTGGTTCTTCTGAAGTGTTGATGGATCTTCCTCTTTTAGAACCAGAGATTGGGGCTGGCTCACTGATAGTCATCTTGGATGTGGAATAGGTGATAGCATTTGGCAGAGCCAAAGTCCAGGCTATCGGATGGGGGAAATTACAGGGAGCAGTGTTTCAAACCCAGTTCTGCTAAGCAGCCTTCGAGGATGGAAGAGGAGGGTGCTGGACTACGAATAGAAGCAGACTCTGCATGGTCTACCAAATGCGACTCCCTAGGAATCTTAAGTGATCACACAGCATATTAGAAACAAAAGCAGACCTGAATCTACAGTAGAATTGCCACCCAGGAATCGCCATCCAAAGGCATTTGAGACTCTTGTGACAATGGTAAAAGAGCGGTTGAGACAGAGTAGTGGGGGCCGGTGTGTGGTGTGCATGCCAAGGCAGAGATTGCTAAGAGTTTAGAAAAGAGGACAGCTGTAGATCAAAAATGTATTGGAGGAAGTCAGCTATGTGTAAGATTGAAGAAGATCAAAGCTAGAGATGGATGGATGCAAGAGTGAATGTAAGCTGATAGAAGAGAAATAACACGCGCAGACAGGGATACAATCTTTTCCACGCATTTTGCCCTTGCCAAGATTCCTTTTAAGCCTCAGCTCTATTCTCATTTCTCTTCCTGGACCACTGCCTCACAACCCTCTCACCCAAGGTAGACGTTAGGTTTGTGCAACACTCTGGATCTGGATCCAAGAAGGTCCTTTGGAATGCAAGAGTGCAGAGACATAGCATGTCTCTCTGCGACTCTTTAAAGCGGCTGGGTTTTTATCTAGGAACCCATGGCAGCTGAAGAGGGCAAGTGTGTTACCCCAGGCAAAGATGCAGGGAGTTAAAAGAGTTGCGGACATGCTATTTGCACACTCGAGATGCTCCTGTGCAATCTTACTTAGAGATGTGCTTTGGGGCAGTAACTTTTTATTATTTTAAGTTTATTCCATCGTATCCATTCGGAAGAGAAGCATAGTGGGTGATGAAGAAAATGCTAAGCTCTTCTTTCATCCTCAGTAAGCTGCAGAGGGCACTTTCTGCTTCCAGCCCCATCTCACGGTGTCCCGCTGAAAGCTTACAGGAAGGCTCCAGCTTCCTGGCAGACTGCAAGTCAAGTCCACAGCTATAACCCACCTGCGGGATGGGAAGATCACTGTTACGATGCTTTACCATATATAACCATCCCTTGCTTAAACCATGATATGGAAGCCTGCATGCTTTGTGCAGGGACCAAACACAAGCAGCTGGGACCTTTGGAGCCCACACCTCTGAGCTGCTGGTTTTTTTTTATCTTGTGCCTTGATTTCCCCTGTCCCATTCTGACAGCAGGGGGAACCAGTCCCTGCACTTTATAAATGCCCAGTCCTAGTTCAGCCTTTCTCCGTGTCAGTTTTCAAAAAGCAAGGATGCCGTAGTCTTGTCCTTCCTTTCTACCTGGCTGCTGCTCCTTATTCCAGCTCCCCACCCCCACCCCAACCAGCCTTCACTCCATCTTTCCACCCACCACACTGGAGGAGAATGCAGCAGGCTGCCTCCAAGAGCGATTAGACGAGCCTCTTGTGTCCATTTCCAATGCGGATAGTTTAGAAAGCAAGCACCATCACCCCTGAATTCTTTAGCTGTACCATGCTGGCGTTGAACTCTACACTCCTTGGAAGTTGGGGGTGTATGGGGGTGGGGTGGGGTGGGAGTGGAGAGAGAGAGGAAACCCGGTTCAGAACTTCCCTTCATTTTTATGCTCATCAATTCCAGTTTTCATCATTTTTAGCTACACATCTACCTCACATGCACTCGCAGTTCATTTGTATACCCAGAACCGGCAAACTGCACCTTCTCCAAGGGATACGTTCCCCACCTCATCCTTAAAAAGAGAAAACCCTTTAGGCTCCTCTGCTTTTGGGAAGGGGGAGAGAGAGAAAGAAGAAAAATGTTGGTTTGAATGGAAAAAAAAAGAAAGACCCCTGTGTTGCTGCTAATTAATACAGTTTATGTTCAATGTACTCGTTTTTGCTTTGCTTTTCTAATTTTCCTTGTAAAATGTATTAGTTTATTTAAAAAAATGAAGCAGAAATGGTTTTGTCTAGAGAAGCATTTTTTTGTGGCTCTGTTGAGAGAACCCAACTGGGCAATAGTTGACAAGACCATGAAGTTGCTTCCCTCTTCCTCCCCTTGCTTTTTTGCCCCAACTGTCTCTTGAGCTCCAGGCTCTCCTGGGGGCTCCACTGCTCGCACCAGAGGAGATCAAGGGAGATTCCAGAATGACAGCGGTCCCATCAGAGTTTTTGTTTTATAACGGAGAATGGTGGTTAATGTTTTCTTGCAAAAGCAAGACATTACCCAATTTGGGAAGTATCAAAGCAAAGAAGAGGCTGCTGTCTTCCTAAGAGTTTTACTGTAGCCGGGTACAGTATTTATTCACAAGGGTTTGGTTTCAACAACAGAAAGAGAATCGTTGCCCTAAGATACGCCACGCTTTCTAACTCACCAACACCTGTTTCTCCTGTAAAAAACCACCAGGAGGTAGAATGCAGGCAACAAAACCAGCCAGGCCCTGTTAACAAAATTAGCAGACAGACTTACTTTTGAGCAAGGACTTTCATCATCCGTAAAAATTGTATAAGGTGATGTATGAATAGTATGGCTTTGGGGATGATAAGAAGGTGGGGGGGGGAGGGTAAGGATATATTTAGTGCTACTATACTGTTAAAACTTTTCCAAAGATCAAACTCTGGTTCCTTGTAAAGATGATGTTATGTGGATCCTTGGTTTGGCCCAGGATGGCTGAACTAGAGCCCACCAAAAAAAAAAAAAAAAAAGAGGATGACATGGTAGCCCGTGTAACCTGGGAAGCCCTGTCCCCAAGAAATGGTCAGCTTTTCCCCCCCCCCCCCCCAAAGCAAGCATGCAAGACAGCACACTCGGAGAGGATGGGCTTCAGCCATTCCAAATCTACTTGTAGTTAACCAGAAGTTGTTAACCCGGCCAATTATATTCCAGGACTCTCGGTGCTATGATTTCCTGCTTCCATTTTTGCTGCGTTTGGGTCTTCTAGAAACGGCCCCCAACAGAACAGTGAGCAGCTGTCTCTGGGATGGGCCAAAGGTAGGGCAGAAGAGGCGATGTTTCCCCCCCCCCCTTTTTTTTTTTTCTCTTCCAACCTTACCATGCGGGTGATGATTTAAAACTGTTGTGACTTAAAAAAAGAAAAGTAATGAAATCAGAACAGCCCCCCCCCCTCACTTTTTGACTTGCTGTGGAATAAATGTGTATGGTTGCGGACTATTTCGTGTTCTTCCATAGTCTTCCCATCCCCTAGCAGGAAGGGCCTGTGCGGATGAGCTTAAAACTAGGATCTCTTGATTCAATGCAACAAGGTTCAACCTAACTTGTCTTGAACAAATCTCCAGCTTGTCTGCACTTTCCTCTGGAGCAATATGCCCTTAACCTGGGGGTTGTGATGGTTGCACTGATGCCTTGCCCTATAGCAAATTGCCCTTAAAACGAATAGCAATAGGCATCCACACCCTACGCAACGTCCTTCTCATGCTGGATCATCGGTATAACAAAGCTACAGGCTATATTTCATGTGCTTCAGTGTATTTGTGTTTTTTCATGACTTGGGAACAAGTTAGCTAAATGTTTGCTTTAAGAAAAAAAAAACATGTCATGGATGTAAAAATGTATTTTGTTAAAACACATTTGGCAGTCAACCCAACTGAGGATGGAACCTCGTTTGCCTTTATCCCATTTCTTACTCAAGACCTTCAGAACTCCCATTTTGAAGGTACTGGAATTCTTAAAGGCTTCCATTTGCCACAAACCCGAGGAAAGTTCCTGCCCATTTCTCCATTCATTGTACTGACTAGTTTTATTTATATACTTAGGGACTATTTGTACAGGTTTTTTTAATTGAAAAGTTTCTATTGTTTTGTATCCTCCATGCTACATACCGCCAGGCCTGTTTCTCTTTCTCTCTCTCTCTCTCTCTCTCTCTTTCTCAACCCTGTACAATTGCCCCTCTGTGGAGCTCTGACTGGTCTCATTTTGAACAAATTTTTGTTTTGAAATAAAAGATGGAAAAAAAAAAGTGCTATGCCTCAATTGTTTCAAGATTCACTTTTAAGAGGGAATTTGCACTGGATGATCGTCAAATTAATAGTGGGATTTGGGCCATTTGCTAATACAAGAGCAATTGCCAAGATTTAATAGAGATTATTTGTTAATAAAAGCTTCAGGTTATATTCGAGAAAAATCCTTTTGCATCCGCGGAAGCTTTTCAGCCACTTTCTGTGAATTGAAAAACAGGCCAACTTCTGGCACAACTAGCCCAGTGTTGTGCTTCCGTCAGCTGTGGCGTTAACAGGAATAACTGGTTAATTCTCCAGGCTGGAAATTGGGACACTTGTCAGTTTTAGTCCCGCCTTTGGCACAAAACCAGCTGGGTGACGAGCCAGTCACACTCTCGGCCCTGGGAAGGAGGCACTGACAACCCACTTCCGAAAAACCTTGCCAAGACTATTGCAAGGACTTGTCCAGACAGTTGCCAGGAGTCAACACAGGCTCAAAGGCACACACAAACATACATCGTATTCACAAAGATGTACTTTTATGTAGCCAAGGAAAAAGGGACGAGTCCTAGGCTGGGTGATTCAAGACCTGTGCAAAAGGATGCAGGTTACCGAATGGGGCTCAGGGCCCCTTGTTCTTTAAACCAGGGGGCTAAGCAAAAGCCCCTCACAGCAGCAGGAGATCCCGAAGCAAAGAGCCAAAGCCAGAAGCTCTCAGACGTGAAGAACACTCTGGCCCCTAACAGCCTGTGAACTAAAATCGGGTACCATCTTAAAACCAAAGCTTCCTGTTTACTAGTGACAAAAAAAAATACCATTGCTGCACACTAGACCATTGTGTGAGAACTTAATTTCCAGCTGAATCAAAGCTTTATTAATGTGCTCTTCTGTATATAACTCAGAGCTATGAAAACGTGTCAAATTGCTTACTGTGTGAAGAATGTGGATAAGAAAACCTCATTATAGGACTATCAGGTGCTCAAGTAGTTCATTTATCCTTCAAGGCCAAATGGAAGTACTTTGCCCCAGGCAAATTATAGACTTGATGGTGCAAAGGAGTGTGGTAAGCACCACTTTAAGAGGAAAGAACAGCTATATTTTTGGAGCTCTTTTTGCAGCTATCAACTCTCTATTCAGTCAGCAGGCCATTAAGTATTTGCTGTGGAAAGGGATGCCAGTACAGAAGATCTTTTCCTTGCTGGCAACTTTCCAAAGGTTTCCTATAAGCCACACTAATTGGAAATAAAATGGTAAGATTGGGAGATTGGGTTGCCCTGGGAAGGCTTTTTCCTCTAGGACAAAATTAAGCCATTAACTACTTGTGGTGAAAATACTTTTCTCAGAGTAGAACAACCATTGTTAAATTTCTTTGTAATAGGTTGGATGATTCAGTTTTTCTTGCCGAGGGGGAAAGTCAGCTAGCCTGTTCTGCAGGCAAAGGAAAATGGTCCACAAAAATGGAACATTGACAAAGAGAATTTTTATCTTGAGTTGGGGGAGATCAGATAGCAACATGGTGTGATGAAATAGCTTTCTTCCCTTACACAGGGCAAGATTTCCAGTTTTGGATTTGCTGGATTGGAAGCCAGGGGACTGGGAGTTCTAGTCCTGCCTTAAGCACAAAGCCAGCTAGGTGATTTGGGGTCAATTCCTCTCTCTTAAGCCCTGGGAAGGAGACAGGGGCAAGCTATGCCAAACAATGTGCTTATACCCTGAAAGCTAATCCACCATCTGGGAAACATTTGTGTGAAAAAGATAATATTTGAACATTTTTTTTGACAAACTCTTAGAATAAAAATGTTTTTAAATATACCCCATCCATTAGATGGAATCCTTCTCAGAATAAAAGGGCAAAAAAAATAGCTAAAGGTAGTGCCAATAACCCCTTAAAAGCTCAGGTTTCAGTCCTGAATCTTTCCAATCACTTTAGATCCCACTATCATACTATTATACACAGCTTTGCTTGTTGCCTGGTGCTGATTCTACACAAAAAAAGGAGATTTAATAGGATGTTTCAACAGCCATTGCTCTACCTGAAATCTTCTCTTGTGGGAGCAGTAACATGCGTGTGAGAACATGTCCACAAACACAATGTGAGACTTTGCAATGGTAGTGAGCAAATCAGTGTGAGCTGTGTGCAGCCACTGGCAACACAGAGGATTTAGTTTTTGCCAATCTGCAGATTTTATTTTGGGGATGGGGACTTATTTTTAGCACCTATAATCGGCAATGCAAATGCTAAAGGACGAAGACAAAATTTGATGAAATTAGAGAATGTAGAATAGAACTGGATTTAAGTGCCTATAGAGAAATTCATTTGTCTCCAAATTAAAGTTACTCATGATGCCCTTCCTCCAAATATTTCAAAAAAGTTGTAGTATACTGTAGTGAACAGTGCCAACTAATCCCCAAGCATTCAAAATGAGCAACATTTGCTATGGATACACTTTTGTTCCAGGCAATAACATCATTATGAGATGAAGGGCTACACTTCTGATACCAGTTCTGTAGTTCATGCTACAGTTCTGATATCGTTAAGAACAGAATTGTGATTCTTTACCCATTCCTAGCATGGAATGCAGAAGAAATGTGCCTTAAAGACTAAGCCATAAATTGGAATTTAGACTATGCAAAAAGTTTTAAAATAGCTCTTGAACTCAAAACTTCCAGAAGTCTTGCAGGCCATTTTGAATTCAAAACCTATTTTGGGTTGTGGAAAATTCATCTGTTCTGTATCCTTGCTTGCCCACTGCACTCCCCCCTCAAACAAAGAGCAGTCCCTGCCCAATCCTCATTTGGGTAGCAAAATGTATTTAGCTCAATTGATGCTTGATAATTGCCAGTGTGCCTGGGAAGCTTCTTCAAAGTAAGCGCATGGCAGACTTAGCTCCCTTCTCCATCGCTCAAGAGGAAAGAGATGGAAGGCCAGGCTGATCTTTTCGTTTCAACTCAAAAGGCAGGAAGACAGAAGAAAAACCGGAGGTTAACTGCAAAGACTGAGCTTCTTTTTGAGACGTATGTACAAAAGCCTAGTTTTAAACCAATTATATTTACTAGAATTTTTTAAAAAAAATTCCTTGGGCCCCTGCAATTTTGCTAAGCATGAGTTATGAATTTATCAAGCGTTTGATTCAACTTTAACAGCTTCTCAAAAACAATATTCTGAAGTCTTACCAGGATTGAACCCGCATCTAATTGGCCTAGCTGTCTTTTAACTGGCCCCAGGGTGCATTGCATAAGGGCAGAGGAGGGGAAGACCAAGCGGATGCACCCCCCAAGCAGGGATGATCACAGAGAAAAGACAACATTCTCAGGCGATTTCTTCTCTATCAAACATTGGGTTGTTTTTGTTTATTCTTTGAAACTTGACAAGCACTCTAACATCTGTACTTGTGGAAACATCACAAGGAAACAAACAAGAATTCTAGACTTTTTTCTTCCTTTTAAACCTTATTAAAAATGAGGTTGGTCCTAAAAATATAGAAAGAAATCAATTTAAATTCACAAAAAACTGTACATTATCAAAAATTCACTAAAACAAACACATTTGGTTATTTCATATAAAAAAGTTTGATTCCCCCCTCCCCTTCCTGCTGTTCAGAACATCTCACAGGATGATGGGTTAGTTGGTTCCTTTCTGATACCAAATTAAGATGAAAGGGGAAGAAAAAGCCAGTGGTTGAATGATAAGGCCAATTCTAGTTGCAATTCTTAAATTAAATTCCAAAAACCATGTAACTTTCAATAAACAAGTTTTTTTTTTTATAAACTGATTGAAAAGACCATATCCCTTAATGAAGATCAAGATCAGGTCAAACCTGGATTCCTTCTTTTAAGGAGTGTGAGGCTTTGAATCTATAAATCTAATGTTTCTATAACAAAAAAGAAACCCCAAAACCAAAACCATGAAACTCTAAATTAAAAACCAAAAATTAACACCTCCAACTCTAGAGTTCTCTCATGACTGATGAAAAAACAAACAAAACCCAAATGATCCAGAAAAAAAGAATTACTAAAAACCCACCAAAAGAAGTTTTGTTACAGCACATTTAGATAAAATATAAATATTTATGCATAATATAAAGTCAGTTTCAAATAGACTTCAACTCTACCTCTTTATTTTAAAAGCCAAAAAACAAAAATCCCCAAATTTAAAATAAAATAAAGATTGAGGTTATTTGATATAAAAAGGCTACGTTTTGTTGAAAACAATTGGGAAGGAAAGTGAGGTTGGGGTGGAGGAAGCACAGTAAGGGAGGTTTCCATCTCCAGGTTATATCACCTGTGGTTACATTTTACTTACATCAGTGCTCTTGCAATTGGATTGGTTGACGCGGATTGAGGCGAAAACACACACGTGCACACACACACACTCACACTCACACATACCCTTATATCACTCCAATGTAGCAGAGGTGGATATCAGGGAGAAAGCCATCTCCTAATAGGACCCTGCCAGCCAAGTGTCTGCCCCAAGTGATACCCGTAATTATAATGGTTTGAGGAGCCAGGCTGGATATGAAAGCAGCAAGGGAGGAAAGGTTCCAGGGGGTGGCTTTCTACGCCTCTGATCCACCGAAAGTGGTGGAAGAAAAATGGAAGAACCAAGTTGTTTCCTCTGAACAGTCAACCTATACCTTCTGGAGGGTGCATCGGAATAGGTCTTGCCCAATCCCCTGCTTCTGGGAGCAGAAACTGGCCAAGGGCTGAACAGCAGGCCCCTCGTTGTAGTGTGCCTGGGCGATGGATTTCTCCCAGTCTGCAGCTCCTGAAGAGAGCCCAGGCCAGGGAACAGGTTCTCTGGCAACTCTCGCATTCGGTGGGATATGGGATCTCGTGGGACATGTTGGAATAGAGGCTGCAAACAGGCCTCAACCTATCATCAAGGAATGACTGAGAGAGAGGTTACGCTGGGACTGAAAAAGAATTGGCCAATTTATCCTGCCTTACGTTCAATAAAAGTTTTTGGGGACAGTTTTTTGATTTTTCTTTTAAAGGACCAACCAGCCAACTGGCGAATGCA